TTTGTTATTTATTTGTTATCTCAGCACTTTTTCAGAGTCTACATAGTTAATATATATATATTGATATTTTTATTTGTCAACAAAGCGTCCATAGATAAGTAAAGTGAGTTGAAGACTTATTGACATGCGCAGTTCGAAGTTCACTGGACGAAATTCATGATAATAATAAAATGTCAAAAATTCAAACCTCAAATATTCAATGATGTAGATTATCCAAATATTGTAGAAGAATTCAGGTTAAATACACAATAGAAACAGCCACATGTCAATAACACATATTGATTACGTCATCAGTTGTTGTGTACTACTGACCTTACAGTGATTTCTATGATCATCATGTGATTGTATTTAAAGGGAAATATAGTAATATAAAGTTTGCACCCACTGGGCTAATGAAGACGGACAATGTCTAGTACTAGCTTTTCCAGTGTTTAATATACACCTTGGGCTTATGAAGACAACACCCTTACAGTGTGCAATGGGGAAATTTTTTTCCAGAATAGTGGTATAAGCCTAATCTTTTCAATTTCGAACTGTCGAGGGATCAGAAAAGTGCACAGTTTGTAGCACTCGGGGTCAGAACAACTAGACGCTTTTCCCATCTCAGCCCCTCCGACCTGCATCACTGACAAAGGGACATCGTTTTGAAAAATCCAACACATGTCGGAAATGAAAACGGAATAATCAACGAGCAAGCACCGTCATTCACTAAGTCACCGAAGCATAATAATATGTAATTTGGATTTTTCAAATCGAAAGAGAAAATGTATTCAACATTAATTAGTATTCAATATGGCCCAGTTCGACATTTTTTATATAAGAAAAAGTGTAATATGTAATAAGGTCTATGATACATGGATATTAATCGTGTTTGAACTGCCAAATTAGGACGAAATTCGACAGAGCCTAAGGTTATTATTATAGTATTAAACTACCTGACCGTGACGTAGCTCGAATATAAACCGTTAACCTTTATTTTATTTTTTCTTTCCGTGGTGTAGTCCGTATGCCAGTTTTCTTTCTTTTTTCCCTTTTTTCGTCATTTCTTTCGTTCTTTATTCCTTTCATTCTTTCTTTTCCTTTCTTTCGTTCTTTATTTCTTTCTTCTTTCGTTCCATCGTGATGTAGCAATGTATCAGTTGCATCACCACTATTTTTTCTTGGAGTTTTACGCCTAAGAAGACGGTTTATTAAGAATTATACATTATAATAAGAGAAATATTAAAATAAATAAACGACTGTATCCTTTCAATTCCACCAGTAGTTTTAAAATGGTGATGACAACATAGTTTCATTAAAGCACTGTCCTAGGTCAGAAGATGAGCGTGTGTTCAGCGTCTCGGACTAACCATCAGAAATAACCCTTAGATAGATAATTTATGTCAAAAGAATATTAAAAAGCCCCCAGCAGTTTGTCTCTTACGTCAATTAAAACTATCATTTTTAACATCAAAGCTGATTGAAGTTTATGTATATTTCTTTTTTTTTCTGAATTTTTAATACATATTACGACAAAATATTTAGGCCACATGTAAGTCAAGTGTAAAATGTGCAGTGCTAATACGTTTGTCTGCTACTAACCGAGGATATCTGCAGTGACGTTCTTACGGGGGGCAAGGGCGGGGGTGCAGAAAAGAGGCAGGCGGGCCACCCTCCCCCCTTACTTTCAGATTCTGTATCATCTTACGTAGTGAAAGAATGGCATATGTAAAATTCCCTTGTGCCCCTTCCTTGTGCCCCTGCTCGCCTCCTCAACCGATGTTTCCTAGAAACAGCACTGTATATCTGTAGGTTTGCTTTAACACTAGGAGTTTATATTATTTTCATTTCAAACACAATAAGTTTGGTTTATATAGCACTTGTTATTATTTATTGTACCTACAAATAACACGTAAATATATAGCTGTTGAATACGGTTTTGAATTTGAATCGTACTTCGACTATAGGCTCTATTCATAGGTTGAGTCAGTGTGTATACAGGGCCAATAATATAATATGTAACGAATATTCTTATATCCCATACAAACTATTGATATTCATACACTTCGATTATATAATTATGGTTTTATTCATATAACAATATTAAAATATTATGTGTATTTTCGAGCACATCCTGGTACGATCATATACATAAAACACACAATATTAAAGGGATATACAGTGGAGTTTCAGAGAAACATTCGGTTAGGGGGGCCGGGCAAGGCCCACAAAAAGTGGGGTGGGGGAGGGGGCAAAGTCGGACCAACTGATTTCCACTCCTCTGCTCAATATCTGTTCTGCTGCTAAAAAGAACCAGAGATATATCGTCTCTTCAACAAGTTCGGAACAACTATATTACTATCGCGTTTCACTTGAACAGATTAGCCTAGTATCAGGTACCGAGCCTGTCCTGCATTTAATTTCATTTCATTTTGTTCCAGGACTCAGCAATCTTCCTCCATTGCTTTACTGTAAAATGTAAACCTCGTTTCAGAGTTTTCATTTCATTTCATTTCAGGACTCGGCAAGTAGTGGTATTCTCGAGTTTAAATTTGTAAGTTATTATAACGATGAAGGCGACGGCGCTAACGGCCATTGTTGTGATGGAAAACTATTCTTTTGCCCTACCGAATGTGACCATCAGTTCAAATTGTGCGTGGATCGTTTACCTGGGTAAGACCAATGTAGTTTTACATCCTGCTTCTATCAGCCAATCAGCTGGCTACAACTTGGTTATATCCTTGTTTTATGAGAAACTGGCTTATGTACCTGTAGCATGTTTGACTAATGAAATGATAAAGAATTTCGTTTTTTAGGTCTTAAAGCTATCATGCTCTAGTTACACTCAAATTAATAATATTTTTTTAATAATTAATTTTAGTCTAATTAGAGCATGGTAGCTTTAATAGGACTGTAAAAGATCGAGTTCAATTATAGCTGCCATTTCTCTGCCGTATCCGTCTCAAAAACTGAATTTGGCTCGATGGTATTTGTGATGTTTGTCTAGCACTAATTGTCGGAACTACAGAAATCGGCTCGGTGCAAATATGCGATACACAGACAAAAACTAGAAAATGTCTTTAAAACTCCTTTAATCGACTAATGCAATATTACTTGTAAGTCATCTGACCTATTGAAGCATCAAAAATTACATAATCCTTCAATGGCATATTAGAAGCACAGTTTATAGATAAAACAGACAATTATTATGGATTTGAACTTCAGAACTTTTAAAAATTTCGTTTCTTTTTTTGTCTGTTGCTTACTTTGCATCGCCTACAAATACAATCGATATTGATTGAAATAACTTATAATTTTTTATGTGGTTTATTTTCAATTATTACAGTATGAGTAGAGTCAGCTGTTATACCTCTGGGGAAGTGGTAAACCAAGACAATATTCCAAGTTTTGGTAGCTACATAGGAAATCAACCAAATTATTTTAAAGTTCATTTTGACTCTTGGCCGGTAAGAAATCCATTTTTATCTAAAGATATGAACAATTGCATTAGCTCTTGTAGGTTTTTGTTACGGCTATCACGATATTGTGATACGAATACGAATTAACATCAATAACGTATCACTTATAACGTGATACGATACACTGGCAATTTATCATGATATTATCGTATATTATAGGCACAGCTACTTCCATTTCAAGGAAATATCATTGAACGTATCGTAATATCGTGATACGATTTACTGGCAATGTACTTGATTTATTAACATATCGTGATACTTTTTAAATTCATTTTCGTATACGATTCAGTGTCAAAATACTAAGTGAACAGGGCAGTATGGATATCATAACACTGCAGTATGGTAATATTGTGATCTAATATATTTAAGCAAATAATGTGATGCCATTCATCGTATCGATGTGGTATCACGATTTATTGTCAATTCACTCGATGTCTCGTAGTATCGCGTTGCTACTTAATGATATAGTTACTAATCAGTGATCTATGTTTTATCTTACCAGCTCTTGCTTGAAGTGGACGTTAACTTGTCATCTACCAACCAACATGTTTATTTTATATTAAATGTAGGGTAAAGCCTTAGTTCGAGTTAAAATAGTGGATCTGGATGATAATACTGATGATTTCGTTGAAACTCTTGTTAAAAGTATTTATAGATTGCCGACCAAACCCCCTCGTTACACAGCAGAGCTACTGGCAGCCCGGACTAGGTAAATAACTTTTCTGTCATTGCCCATATATATCAATGCAAAGAATGCTCACATATTGTTATCACCACTGTGAAAACTCATCTCTTGTCTAATTGTTCTTTACAGTCCCACATTCTTTGCATTTGGTTCCACCCAAGCAATGTTGAAAATCGAAGAGAATAGAAAAGAGCTGAAGCCTCTCCGGGCAAATGTCATATATTATTGCATGACGTTATCAGATTAGCAGGTGGATCCGTATATACAGCTGGAAACAGATCAAGAAAAGACTAAAACCGCTGTCCCGATTTCTCTCAGCCTACTACAATCAGTACATTCTTTGCTAGAACAATAGGACGCAAAACTCTATTGTATTTGTTTCAATTACAGGTTAGAACTGGATGTCCGTGTATCATGTGATACTCACTATTATACCAGAAATTGTGCTGTGTTCTGTAAACCACAGAGTAATGCTGAAAATGGCTTCTATACTTGTAACCAAGTCACTGGGGCTAAAATATGCAATGAAGGTTAGTTGCAATACATAGGTTTCTGGTGTGTCTTGGGGTTATGATGGGGTTGGTATGGGTCCGAGTCCTTAGCTAATGGTTCATTTTTTGTAGGATCAGAGATAAACATATATTACTCGTCATTCGAGATTTGATGATCGTAGACTCTTTTTAAATGTAAAAAGGCGTAAGATGCACTCTCAAATGCCACAGACAGTGCTTTCGAATGTAATCAATGAGTCAACTCTAACACTTGACTTACATATCATGGGTTGGATTTCGACAGAGGGATGTGTGAAACCTTTAAACTCTTCCACTAAAAATACTTGACCTTAATTGCATTTGCAGGTTGGACTGGGGAGAATTGTGATATGGATATTGATGAATGTTCAACCAGCCCCTGTCAGAATAACGGTACCTGTATCAACAACCCCGGATCTTATAGGTGTAACTGTCTAGATGACTATCACGGTGAGTAAGATTTTTGGGGATTAGGGCGTAGTGCAGTCTCTTGTCTGTCTCACCTGCCTGCGCAACGTAGATTCTGTTTTTGCTAGAAATAGAAAGACACAAGAATAATTTCCAATTTCATTTCAGGGTTTCACTGTGAAATCAGTCCAATCTGTTCGAGTCAACCGTGTAAAAATGATGGAGCTTGTACTGAAGGCTTTATGCTCACATACAATTGTACGTGTGCCTTTGGGTTCAGTGGAGACACGTGCGAAACACGCGATGACCCGTGTACGTGGACGCCATGTGAAAATAATGGAGTGTGCGCTAGTGACCCAGTGACCTTCGACTATAACTGTACTTGTGATGAAACATGGATAGGGGAGAAATGTGAAATTGCACAACCACCGTTTACACCCATCACGCTGTTTGGAGGTAAGTTTATTCAAAGTATCACCATTAACAATCATATCCGGAAGCTGGAGTTCTAGGATTATTAAAACCCTCAGCCCATGTTCAGTCGAGATTGTACCAATGTCACCGCCCCTCTGGCGGCACACATAAAGTAATTACTATAGTGGAGCTAAAAATTGAGAATGTCGTCTACTTTCCACCATCGCGACACCCTCAAAGTGCTAGATATATATATGTCTCAACACAGCAAACAGCAATCCCCAACCATTGCTTTCTACTTCAGAGACGACCAGAATCACATTATTGGGAGAAATAGACGATAAAAATATGCCGGAATTGGTGAAAGGATTGGAGAATTTATCTCGAGATTTAGGAAAAGTTAATGGTACAATTTTAGTTCAGTTGGAGACTCAAGTACTGGAAATCAAAATTGGGTAAGTCACGAGATAGTATTGAGATAGCCCGTCGTCTCTTTAATACTTCCACTTATTTAAACCGTGTTTCACTTTAGCAGTTAAACCTCGACAACGAGGTAATAAATATTCATAATGTCACATGGTTTTCAAAGCAACCAATCAATTCGCTTTTACTTGTATAAATATTACATGACTTTTATCACAGCCTGTTCAACAACTTACTGTAATTTTCATAATTATGTCATTTTCAGCACTATAATAACCGAGGTTGAGTTTTTGGTTGCCAATGACTACGGCAGAAACGTCATAGATAACAACAGTATAGACGCCATCTTTAAAGAAAATAAACCGGAAGTTATCAATAGTTATCTTCCCTTGCCTCTGTATTTCTCCAGTGCTGGTATAGCTGACCCCGAGGCCGTTAAGGGCATGAAACCAATGGTTAGTATAGATTATAACAGTCATTTTGTGATAAAGAAAAAGCATTCATTGGCTGAAATGATGCTATCCTTCTGAAATGTGGATGCCCCTTTCTCATTTCGAGAGCAGCATGATATGCTATTACTTTGTTTTCTTGTATATTGCGTAAATCTGAAAAGTCTTTCCAACATTTTGAAGTTTTTGTTGTTAATTTCCAGGTGCAGCGAGATTGGTCCTCCGACAATTGGTACGTGTTTCTGATCATCGCTCTCATCTGTGTAGCTGCTCTGGCTGTTTTTGGATTCTTCTACATCAGACGAAAAAGGTAAGTTAGGTCTATTTATTTGAAAGAATCATATTATATGGAAAAGCTACTTTTGATGGGACATTTAGTAAGAAGTATCACATGACCGATTGTGGAAAGCCAAGCATCGTTAGAAGAGACTATAGATAGAAGATTGAAAACAGACTATATTCCAAGGATGGGAACTAGTGGGTGATTTTTCATAGGGCTGTATAATTCTTATTTCACAAGGATGCTCGATTCTGGCATGCTGGAATCATCAGAAGAGACCAAAAGATGGGAGATTTAAAACAGCCTCTTATCCATGGGACAAACTAGTGGGGTTCACGCTGGGTGCTGTGGCATCATTTGGTGATATTGGTAACAACCATGACAGTATGTGTCACTTTTTCATGGATTCTATTGGCTTATTATGCTTATCATTTCAGACGTTCTGATAAAGAAAACATTAAAGTTGGGCTTCCGAATAATTTTGATGCTACACCAGAAAACAACATGGCGTTCGAAAATGTGTTGTATCGCGAAAACAACGAAAACAACGAGACTCGAGAACAACAACCGACCACAACGCTACCTTCCATGACCCCTACTCTTCCTGACGACCCGGATACGCTTGGTGGCGCTGCGGCAGCTAAACCTTTAGACAATGCCTACGACATTCCGAAACCTATCAATCATTATCAAGACATCGACGAGTGTCGTAAACCGGAACCACCACCACCGCGATGTGGCGCCACTGCTGCCGGACCTTATTTGGACATGAATGGAACGTCTCAACGTGGAGTTGACAATACTTACCAAGACTTTAATAAGCTCGCTGTCTCGATGAAGGACGTGGAGGAGAGCGAAGAGAATCACTATCACGATATCGACAAAATCAAGGAAGAATTTGACATCAGTGATCTAAGTTCCGATTCGGAAGATGATATCGCGAAGGAGAAATCTGCGTTTGCATAATTTAAAGAAAAATAATTTAATAACGTTGTGCCATGAATTAATATTGTGATTATTTCATGATAATATTTATCTTTTTGCGTTGTTTAACCTCATTTCGCTTTTTCCATTGAGTAATTATCTCCGAGTTGTAACTTAGTGAAAGTTTGTGACGTCAACAAATTTCAAATTACGTAATGTTATTTATACAAGATGTAGGTTTGTTGACGTCATTGTCGTTTTGATATATCGACCATTGTGTCTACATTATAGTGAGGTAGAAAATATAACCGAGGGTGGCCGCTCTTTTTTACAGCCACATTTGTCTATGTTGTACATAACAGTTTTCTAGAAAACATCATACATATATTTTCCTAGCTGCAAAGTCTTTCATCGCCTTTATATTCTGGCAATTTCATTTACATCTTAATCTTCATAAATGAGATGTAATTAGGTTTTCTTTCATTTTATGACGTTTTTCATGTAGACGTTCACTGTTACGCATTGAAACAAATGGTCTCTGGTAAGCATAATGTGTGTTTATTATTAAATTGTACTCGGATGTTTAACATGCTCCATAATTGATGAATTGTATCAAAATGTCGCCAGTAATTACATTGTCTTGCCATAATACTATTATAATAAATCCTTGTAAATACCGTGTACATATTGAACATTTAATAAAGATTTATTTTCTTTTATTGTTCCTTCTTTTATGAGAGTTAAATGAGGCTTTCTAGTCGTACCTCGTCTATTATCAACTTATCCATCCATACATCCATATTAACATGGCACACAAAGTTGCGAAAGTCAAGAAAATAAATTGATTCATTATAAACAACAGACAGGGGAGACAACTAAGAAACTATTTGATATAGAGTTGCGTCCCCTAACTAAAACAAAATAATAAGTACGATTTTTTGTGAACACAATAAAAGAAAAATAATTAACAACAATACTGAAAATGTTAGATCTTGTTATCGGAGACGATTTACAACAGAAAGCACAAAGGCGGTAACTATGATTAGGAAACTTTTTGATATAGAGTTGCGTCCCCTTATAAAACAAAACAATATTCTGTGAACAAATTAACAAATCAAAAGCAAATCATTAACAAAATATCATTAGTTATTGATACTAAAACGATTAACAACAAAAAGCACAAGGGAGGCAACTGTGATTAAGAAACTACTTGATATGGAGTTACTCCCCCCTACACAGGGAGGAACGTAACGATTTGTACAATGTTTCTTATTTATGCCCACACAAGAGGCATAGGCCATGACATGAGCTACATAGTTCTGTTCGTGAACACCACGGAATAGGTGAGACATTGGTCCTGTGGCGAAAATGGCGACATCTTCTCCGCCATGTGTTTCATCAACTACTGGAACTGCAGCAGGTTGTTGATACTCTTTATCTTCTGCAAATTGAAAATATTCAGTGCAAGTTAAAGTAAGCGATAATCTAGTTTACGATCTTTGAATGCAAATCAAAATGAGATTACGGACATGTTTCTTGCCAAATCGCAATTGATAAGTCGAGTGCACAAGTGGACTAACTCACTGACGTAGACACGCAATTAGTTCAATAGGATTCCACAACAAATGACGAAGGCTAAATCTATTGACGTGGCAGGTCGATGATCATGTCTACCAGTTAACCCTGGTCAATATCAAACATCTAAAAAAATGCTTTAAATTTAACCAGGTACATTATGATGTTGATGACGGCGGCGATGCTCTTTTTGCTCTTATGGTGATGATGATGATGATGATGAAGGCAATTCCGTTGATAATGACATTAACGACTGTGATGAATATTCCACTGATGCTGTTATTGGCGACAGCGACGATTACTGAAACCAGGTCATAAGATTGTGAGCACTCTAATCAAACGGCTCTTCCACAGCATGACAAATCGTTACAACTTAAGAACGAAATGGCGTTTTCGACTCTTATCTATCTAACAGAAGTAACTGCAGTTTTCTACAAGGGAATATAACTTGACCTGGTTGATAAAGTTATATAAGGTGTTATAACAATCTTACTTGTATCGACTCCAGTCAGATTGTGTCTCGGGTAATTAGCGCCGTTACCATATACCAGGGTTGTGTATGGCATTTTATCTTTTGGTACGTCATCCCAATCCATTGGATCTACAAGACCTGAAACAAGGGACATTACTCGTCAATTATTGCTTTGCTGGATTGTTGCCGTTACAAGTTATCTGATATTACAGAATAGGTAGATGTTGGTAATTGAAAGATCAATAATTGGTTACAGGGACGTGTTAAAGCAAATGGAATCTCGCTCTTTCGTCCAATAGCAGAGATAAGAAACCGCTTCTACCCTTTCTCCATTATCAAAATATTGACGAAAAATGCTTACCAAAAATGTCATTTCCGATGGCAGGATAGCCAGCGATGTTGAAAACATGGGAATGATCTCCGGTTACTACTATTAATGTGTCGTCGGCATCAGTTTCGTCCATACCAGCTTTTACAGCATCGTCAAACGACAGGACATCATGGATCGCTTTCTTCGCTTTGGTAGCATGATGGCCGTGGTCTATTCTGGCAGCTGAAAATGCAGTCGAAAGTTTAGATCTCAATTAGAGGAGGCAATAGCTAAATATGATTAGCTTCTACCAAAAGCATGGGCATCGTGGATAGCCTTCTTAGGATTAGTCGCATTAAAATTAGTTCTCGGAAAAATTAGGAATTTGAAATGCGGTACATTGTGCGGTCGTAGAGACAACCCCAAGTAATATATCCAAATCTGGTATGCATGTAATGACAAATGGAACAACTACTAGCTATCCTTGATTGTCCAAATTGTCAAAACCATTAAAGTCAACAGACAACCTAGACTGTTTGTTTAGTTGTTCAAATTTTTAATGTATCCTACCTTCAACAAAGAGAAAGAAGCCATTGTCATTTTTCTTCAGAATTTGGATGGCCTTTTGCGTCATTTCTGCTAATGAGGGTTGTCCTATATCACTGTCGTCTCGGTCGATTTCATAATCCATATGAGACGCGGAAAAAACACCTGAAATTTTCAAAAATTAATTCAACTGAAAACTTTCGTTGAAAATCAGATGCTTCTTTGCTCTAGCTATGGTGATGGTCACAACGAACTTCGGGTGTCAAGTATCCCTTCTACCACCTGGTCCTTGACCAAACGTCGTGGCAATAACCATTAACAGCTGAATCGATTGGGAAAGAATCTGTATCGGTCGGGTCTAAACTTACCTAAGAGATAATCAGTTTTCGAGGCGTCGACTTCCATCAACTGTTTCTTATTGGTAATATAACTATGACTCTTACTTCGCTCTTGTTTGTCTTTTTTCCATTCCTGTAAAGAATAAAGTCTGAGGAATGTACAGTGTACTAGAGGCTAGAACATTACTCCGGACTACAATTGTCTAAATATTTACATTCTGCGTAACGTATCTCTTTTCAGAATCATATTCTGACGTAGGGTTTCTTCTGGATTCAAAAGAAACACCTGCATTGCATTACTCCGGAATACAGCTGTCTGAAAATTTGCATTTAGCTATCCGTATCAATTTCCAGAAGCGGGTTCTGACTCCAGTTCTTCAGGATTCAATGACAGCGACACTTTTCATTCAAACGGTCCGTTAAGAACTAAACGTATAGTTCAAACACGCAAGCCGAATTTTCATTCTGAAAACGGCCAGTATCCATTAAGCCATGGTAGCTTATACTTTGAAAAAAGCATGATTGAATGGGATTCAATGAACTTACTTCAATTAAATTTCGACCGTCGATCCTCTGTTTACTATGCGCCGAGTTCGTTTGGGGATCAATGAAGTCTTTGGGTAATAAAGTTCTTCTTCCGCCTCCCATAATTACCTGTAATCAACAACATTTATATTTTATTTAATCGTATTGGTAGGATTATGGTCAACGGGGGTAGGGATATTTTGACCACATAAACCTGTAGTTCCAATGGTACATGCGTAAAATAACTCAGTAGGATAAAGGATTTTTAGTTTGCTCATTCAACGTCAGTCGACACCGTTAAAGAATGTGCAAGCTCCAAAAGAATGTCAAACCTGTCAATTATAATAATATCACAATGATAACGACTAGGTAGAACAACGGCGGCGATGATGATGACGATGACGATGATGATGATGATGTTGAAGACGGCAATTCCGTTGATGATAACGACGACGTTGAAAGCTACTGCTGGTGTTATTGACGACAGCGACGATTACGATGACGTTGGAAGCTACTGATGATGTTATTGACGACAGCGACGATTATTACTACTACGATGATGATGATGGTAGTGATTTACTAACCGTAATGTTCTTATTATCTTCAAACAGCTGTAGCGACAAATCTTTACAGTTTCCAGTAACATTTGTCATATCAGCATCTCCTTCCCACGCCCTGGAGGCCGTATGTCCATAGGTGGCTGCCGGAGAGGCGTGAGACAACCGAGCTGTGGAAATTATACCAGTAGATTTTCCTGTTAATGAAACGAACCTGACGTTGTAAAAACACATTCAGATTTAACAAGGAGCACAAACCTAACTCTCTAGTATATGTGCTAAATGGTGTCAAGGTATGTGACTGGGTTTTTAATAGCTAGACGTCTTTTAGACCTGTTCAGTTAGCTTTTGTAGAGTCTTGGAGTTTTCAACTTATAAAGATGTGCCATTTCAATAGGTTAATGTAGGGAGAACATTTTTGAAAAACCGGACGACTGGGCAACATTGGTGTTCTCTATGGTTATCTAGCAAGGTCGACTAATCAAGTATGTTTCAAACTTACCTTCAGTCATCGACCAATCTAAGATGGATGTTAGCTGAGATTCTTTTGTTTGGGAAGAACAGTCATGTCGTACTACGGTGTTGTCCACTCCAATGGTTCCTTGGTTAATCTTCACTCCACTCAGTAGCGCTGTGGCCGTACTGGCAGAACCTGAAGTCTGGCGATTAGCGTTATAAGTCTGCAAATATAATGAATAAATATACTACTAATAACTACTATACAAGTCTATAACGAATGCTGGACGATCTAAAAATGATCCTGCAAAACATAGTTGCGATACGTCTTACACACAAGATTTAAAAACTAAGAAATGTGGAACATTTAGTTGCATTATTTAAGAGGAGAAGCACCGCGGTCAAGACGGATTCTTTAAAAAAATGGACATATTTTATCAAAAGTGTCATAAATCTGCGGAGTCCAGATTGAGAAACCGGACCCCGTCTGAAAAAGAATTTTACGATCAATTCTGTCGTTAGTTTGGTATTTCTAGGTAAAGTGCTTCATTAATACTTCTTGTGAGGAATCATTTACCTTAGACAATCCAACAAAGGGAAACTTTTCAAATTCCAGGGCTGCATCGCCTTCTCGTATATTCTTCTCCTTCTGAAGTTGTGATCGGTAGAGTCGTGCTGCTGTAATGGTAGAAATACCCATTCCATCACCAAGAAACAAAATCACATTCTTGGCCTTGTTGATGTTTATTTCTGATCGCAGAGATTTAGACAAATCTTCTTGCGCCCATTTTATCCAGTCATCACGGGCTGAAACATACCATGGTAAACAGAAATGAAATAGAATGGAGTTTTACGTCCTACTCTTCTGCCCGAGATTGCTGTTATTAAGACAGGCAGCGTAATGCAATGTGTAATGAAGACAATTTTTACTTATTCTTAGACATCAAAGTGACATCGATTACTTGTCAAGACAGTGGCATTAAAGGGACATCGATTACTTGACAGTGACATTAAAGGGACATCGATTACTTGTCAAGACAGAGACATTAAAGAAACATCGATTACTTGTCAAGACAGTGACATTAAAGGGACATCGATTACTTGACAGTGACATTAAAGGGACATCGATTATTTGTCAAGACAGAGACATTAAAGAAACATCGATTACTTGTCAAGACAGTGACATTAAAGAAACATCGATTACTTGTCAATACAGTGGCATTACAGGGACATCGATTACTTGACAGTGACATTAAAGGGACATCGATTACTTATCAAGACAGAGACATTAAAGAAACATCGATTACTTGTCAAGACAGTGACATTAAAGGGACATCGATTACTTCACAGTTTCATTAAAGCGACATCGATTACTTGACAGTGATATTAAAGGGACATCGATTACTTGTCAAGACAGTGGGACGAATCGTCAATTTAACATTCAAACGTGGATAATTCTGACCACAAATGGATTTGACAGCTCAAATTTCAACAGTAAGCTGTAAAGACTATTACAGATTGGCTTAGCTCAAAAATTTCCGTTTCTAGGACTAAAGTATGATTGGTCAAAAGGAATGGCGCACTAGTCCCTTTAACTTATTATTTTTCGACTTCCAACTGTCGGTCGTTCAAGATTAATAATGTAACAAGAGAATTGAATATATCATTTTCAGTCCAGTTTTTATTTTCTATGCAAAAATCGTGTTAGTTTTTAATATTTTTGTTACGCTTTATATGTGTATCTGAGACACGCATATTTGCACTATTTATCGACCTATATATCATATTGTGATAGAAATACATTTGTTTTCAACCCTAAATCTCTTTGGTAACAAGCAAGTGGTTCGTTTTGAATAGGGTGTAATTCATCTATATCTATTGTCATGGTTGGTAGCTAAGCGTAGGTCAACGTTGTTTTTAAGGCTGAAATCAAATGATTGGTCGTGAAATGGTAAAGCTTTTGTATGTGTAACAAATACATATATAAAGGCGAGAAAACAGTTTGTGAACCCTTCGAAAAAAAAAAACACAACCTGTAACTTATTCAACCCACACGGGCATCTTTTAATACAGATACAACCATTAAACCAATACTTTCTTGAGCCCATGATCGACCTTGTCCAGTGGCGAAATATGGTTCGTACCCCCAATTATACCCTACTTCATTTCAAACAAATTTTCAACTATCATCTTTAACATATTTTCTCCCTAAAATATGTGTAGGAATGCAACGAATCAACTCTAATTTTCAAACATTTTCTCTGAGAAGTAATCCTCTCAGACGTTCGGTTGGAGGCTCTACAGCTGCCACATTTTGGTGCTCACTTTTGACAGTTGATCCCCCGTTGTCTGCCCCATATTTGTACCCCCCGTCCCGAGAGGCTTCATGGTGCCGCCACTTATCTTTATCCCTTTGAGGTAAACAACAGCGTCTCCACTAGGCTCCTCAGAGAGAGAATATAAACGATTAAATTCATTGCATTTTCATAATATCAATTTTCATTTTGAATTTAATCATTCAGCTTTATAATATATAAATGAATAAATTAATCCAACTTCATTTCATTCCATCGACAATTTCAATAAACTGAGATAACTTTAGAATTTCTACACAATTTAAATAATATCCATATTAAATCAAAATAAAACAAGGTTATTTCTGTTTGTAAACTGCAGTGAATCCTGAAAATAATGCTATGAATACAAGAGCTCATCTCGTACTGCTAACACATCTTTCAGGTACTTATTCCTCAGCAGGAACTTAACTTTTGATTGATTGATTATCAGATGACCTAGAACACGAGATATATGACAAATTCGCCAGATCAAGGCAATTGGAGTCACCCGTAGAAAAAGAAACACGTAGATTTGAATTTAAACCAGAAGGGTTGGTCATGGCCATATAGACAGTGAAGATTATAAGGTATGAGGTTATGGACACAATTTATACAAAAACATTGTGTTTTTAAGGGTCACCAAAGGTCAAGGTTTATAAAATAAAAACTGCCAAATAAAGCTCAGAGAGGTATTCATTCCCTTAATGATAATTCTTTCAATCTAAATATCCCTCGACAGTGGAAATCGAAAAGAAGTGGGCTAATACCTTTTCTACCAAATTTTACTCATTGTACACTTCATGGTATTGTGCGTCTGTTTTGGCACTGTCTTGTGCAGGAAACTAGGACGAAAAACTTCATTTCATTCATTTCATTTCAGATGACCTTACACATCGTCACTGGCTTCTTTAGGAGTTGGTCTAATGGGCGATGACCCCCTCCCCAGACTGGGAAAGATCTTATTTTGAAGCCTTATACATGCTGAAATGCATAAATACCACTGAACATCGTGAAATTATAAATTTATTCAAACGTGGAGTAGTGTGAAATCAATAATAAACGCTAAAACATGAAATGATAATTTAGATAAATGTATTCCTTAAGAGTTTAGAATGACGTATAACTAAAGTTGAACCGTGCACAATGAACTATGATGGTAGAACGTACTACAGAGCCTGATAGTGTTGATTTAGCCTACTCGAGTTTAGTTTTACTACTAGTATATACTCTTCTTATCTTCATACAGATACACACAAAGTTCACAAAACATTTCAAGTCATAACCGTATGAATGAGAAAAGGGTTGTTGGCATTTAGCGAATCCACTGTCTACTAAATCTCTACTGATTGAACTATTCCACTGTCCTAGCCGAAGACAATCCAACTTACTACTGACTGAACTATTCCACTGTCCTAGCCGAAGACAATCCAACTTACTATTGACTGAGCTATTCCACTGTCCTAGTAGACGACAATCCAACTTACCACTGACTGAGCTATTCCACTGTCCTAGTAGACGACAATCCAACTTACTATTGACTGAACTATTCCACTGTCCTAGCCGAAGACTATCCAACATACTACTGACTGAACTATTCCACTGTCCTAGCTGAAGACAATCCAACTTACTATTGACTGAGCTATTCCACTGTCCTAGTAGACGACAATCCAACTTACTATTGACTGAGCTATTCCACTGTCCTAGCCGAAGACAATCCAACTTACTACTGAAATGTCACTGCTACTGATTGGGTTATCCTATTTACTGTCTTGGTTTATTTCCTTGAGAATCAAAATAATACTCACATTGTGACCGTACGGTAGCCAAACAGCACAGACTCGTCAGGTACAGGAATACAGAAGCTCTCATCGCCATCATCTATAGTAGCGAACTGGGCCAAATGAATTCGTGAGACTCGACGGACACGGCTGAGTAAATTTATGTATATTATCGCACCTACTGGCCGAAGAAATACATTTAAAACATGTTAAGGGATGTACAGGTCTAAAAAATCAGCGGCTCAACTAAATAGGTGGAGGCCCGTGAACTTTAGTGGATTTAGTCACACCAGTAGGCAAAACAATAAAAACACTACCGTACGTAACGTTACAACAGAGTAACTCGTTCAAAAGACAAAACTATAAAAACACTACGTAACGTTACAACAGAGCGACTCGTTCAGTAGATAAAACAATAAAAACACTACGTAACGTTACAACAGAGTGACTCGTTCAGTAGACAAAACAATAAAAACACTACGTAACGTTACAACAGAGTGACTTGTTCAGTAGACAAAACAATAAAAACACTATGTAACGTTACAACAGAGTGACTTGTTCAGAAGACAAAACATAATTAAAAACACTACGTAAAGTTACAACAGAGTAACTCGTTCAGAAGACAAAATAATAAAAACGGTACTTAACGTTATAACAGAGTGACTTGTTCAGCAGACAAAACAATAAAAACACTACTTAACGTTATAACAGAGTGACTTGTTCAGAAGACAAAACAATAAAAACGGTACTTAACGTTAAAACAGAGTGACTTGTTCAGTAGACAAAACAATAAAAACGGTACTTAACGTTATAACAGAGTGACTTGTTCAGTAGACAAAACAATAAAAACGGTACTTAACGTTAAAACAGAGTGACTTGTTCAGTAGACAAAACAATAAAAACGGTACTTAACGTTAAAACAGAGTGACTTGTTCAGTAGACAAAACAATAAAAACGGTACTTAACGTTAAAACAGAGTGACTTGTTCAGTAGACAAAACAATAAAAACGGTACTTAACGTTAAAACAGAGTGACTTGTTCAGAAGACAAAACAATAAAAACGGTACTTAACGTTAAAACAGAGTGACTTGTTCAGTAGACAAAACAATAAAAACGGTACTTAACGTTAAAACAGAGTGACTTGTTCAGTAGACAAAACAATAAAAACGGTACTTAACATTATAACAGAGTGACTCGTTGATAAAAGCATAAAAACATTATAACATTATAACAGAGTGAAAACTTAAAAAAAAAAACGTTAAGCCTGTCGCATACGAGATGAACTAGCTGATCTACCTGCCTCAAGAGGTCGGGAGCTGTGCAACGTTCTCACTACTTCTTTCACTGCAGACGAGAGCTCTGGCCTGAGATATTATCTCAATAGAAAATCCGTACGTCAACGAAAACAACCGAAGTACGTTCGGACTGCATTCGTATCAGGTAACTAATCAAAATGGTCTCACTTCCTTGTTTTCCTTTGTTTATTGAGACAGGCAGCTCAGCTAGTTCCTCTCGTTTGCGCCAGGCCTAAGGCTATAACAAAGTGACTCGTTCAGCAGACAAAACCATAAAAACGCATGTAACGTTTTCCAGAACACAGGGTTTGTTTATTAGCTAAAAACTCACGAGTTGTGTCCCTTACTTCATGATTTTGTTCATCGAAAGATTGAATGGACACAGGCCACAAAATATATCGACAGTCGGTCTATTTTAAGACGTGATCTATTTTTTCACCACTTTTGAGTTTTATTTTTCACCATTTGCTCTATAATTGTATTTTATGTGAACGAAAATGAAATTTGTCGATTTGGAAAGATTTACTAGTGGTAAATAAAAATTCTGACAATTTTTCAATGCTCAGGCATAGTCTAGGTTCTTGTCGTCATTTTCAACTAAATGGTCAACTTTTGACTTCAGATTCCTCATTTTAAAGGTAGGTGTTAAAAAAACGTGAATAATAGATTAAAATAGTGAACAAGACATACTAATACAGATGTCTACATTCTCTTTGTTAGAATTCTCGTGATTTATTAACAACCCTTCTAAGAAAAATTACATTACAATCTCGTATCTTCTTTGTTTTAGTCTCTATCTAACGAGTTTTCTAACAAAGACCTATTCGAAAGGTAGTATTTTTAACCAATCAAATCGTTTGTAATTCAATTCAGACGTTTCTGGATTATATCCCATTAAGTTCTATAAACCAGGAAAGTGTTCCTTTAATCATGTCAACACTGTCTACACAGATTGTTATTAGGCGCGTTTGTGGAAGAAGATATGTTGACACACAGATCTTGAGGAAGGTCGATTTGAAAGATAGACCTTAGTAAACAATAGGTTAATCATGAGCATACATAAATTACTTACTTAAATATTATCTATTATAAGAATCATTTATATATATACAACCCTTTAGAATTTGTGAAATCGGGGTCAGTTTGCCCCTTTTCATATTTGCCCTGAGTTAGTACGCCCCTCAGCTATAGTTGGTACGCCCATGATAAATGTTCGCCATGGTTTATGTTTGCCCTGTTTCATTTTCGCCCCTGGCTATGTTCGCACTGTTCCATGTTCGCCTCTGACTATGTTCGCACCGTTCCATGTTCGCCTCTGACTCTGTTCGCACTGTTCCATGTTCGCACTGTTCCATGTTCACCTCTGACTATGTTCGCACTGTTCCATGTTCGCCTCTGACTATGTTCGCACTGTTCCATGTTCACCTCTGACTATGTTCGCAATGTTCCATGTTCGCCTCTGACTATGTTCGCACTGTTCCATGTTGGCCTCTGGCTATGTTCGCACTGTTCCATGTTCGCCCCTTTACCCACCGAGCTTGAGATATGTTCGCTCTACTTAATGTTCGCCCATATTAATGTTCGCCACTAGCTATGTTCTCACTGATTTATGTTCGACCTCTATTCGCCCTGTTCCATTTTCTCTTCTGGCTATGTTCCATATTCGCCACTGGCTATTTTCTCTCTATTCGATGTCCGCCCTCGTTTTTATCGCTCTGTTTCATGTTCGCGCTGTGTCCTTGCCATAATGTTCCAGGCAAATTCCCTACATATTTAGATGAAACTATCCCTTTAATTGGTATATCAGAGTGGTCAGTGAGCCCCAATTTAGTGACCATGATTGATCCCTTAATGAAAGAGAAACGTGGTGTTTGCTTTCCCGGTAGTTAACCTCAGAATTGATACTGGGCAAATATAGCCTTCTAGATACGAATCTCATTTAGAGTTTATCTTTAACTATTAGTTGCCCCTGTTAGCTATTATACTAGTCTGACTTACTAGAAACTTACTGACTCTTACCTACTCTCTGATAAATATTATGCTAGTCTGAAACTCTTACCTTGCCTCTGATCGTAGTATTATACCAATCTGAAATTTGCTTACCTTTAGGGAATTTGTTACAGATTACGGGAAGGGCTAGCTTTAAAGATACAGAATAAGGGAAGGCATAGCTTTAATAAGATAAAGTAAGTAAGAAAAGCTGAGCTAATAACTTAATATCTTATGTATACAATACAAGAATGACATTAAATCTAAACATACACTTCAGATGGTTCATTCCATCTGTTCTTATCATCGACGTGGCATCATTGGTATTTATCATTGGAATTTAACAGGCTAGTTAAGGTAAGAAAAGTAAAGTTTTCTACTTCCATGCTTTCAACCTTGCGTTCAGCTGTCCGCTTTATACAAATGCTTAAGAAAAAATTGTTTTGTCTTGAATTCAGTTGTTTTAAAATGTCTAATCGTATCTAGACAACAAACTTTGTCACAAAATATCTTGTTCTGTCAATAATAAACTTTAAAAACTATTTGTAATGTACGTAACGTTATAACAGAGCCACTCGTTCAGTAGACAAACAATAAAAACACTACGTAACGTTATAACAGAGTGACTCGTTCAGTAGACAAACAATAAAAACACTACGTAACGTTATAACAGAGCCACTCGTTCAGTAGACAAACAATAAAAACACTACGTAACGTTACAATAGAGTGGCTCGTTCAGCAGATAAAACAATAAAACGCTACGTAACATTACAACAGAGTGACTCGTTCAGTAAACTTAACATTAAAATACGATATAACGTCACAACAGAGTGGCTCGTTCAATAAACATTAACAAACCACAATTGTTAAGCAGGATTCGAACCCATGGCACCTAATCGCCGAAAAGACGACAATCTTAACTCGCTACAAACAGAGTTATTCCACTGCCATATAAAAGTAGCAAGGATATGTCTTGTTTAATTCGAAATCTATGTTAATTTCTTTTCAAGGTGGTCGCGAATCTGGTGTTTATTTTATCTTTTACAACCAGATCTTAAAAATACTTTAGATGTCATTAAGGCTAATATATCATCTGGTTGGGGCTCCTTTACAACCGTTTAATATAAATCACGGTAATAGTTCAACCTAATTGTTAGAATGATTAATAACACGTTCTTACCTATCTCTACAATGTCAAGCTATAACGAGCTTCATCTTATACCTTGACTGCAATAGCCAGTTATAGTTTATAAACGAAGCGATTTTATTGGATTATACTAGCAAATGCCTCTATGAAAATTAATGTTTATAGTCCTTCTGTCGAGGGCTCTGATTGGCTAGCTTAGAATCCAGTCAAATCGCTACGTACTATGTCCATGATTCAAGAAAGGCGTCTATTTGATTCAAGGTATAAGTGCAAAGTTCGTAATAGCTTGACATTGAGAAGATAAAATGTGACTATAGCATTCAAGGTATTAAACGAATATGCAGAATTAACTAGAATTAACTTTATGCTTTAACCATTACTGTAAGAAATAACGGAACAAGGAAATAGGACAGACGTCTCAACTTCAACCGGAAAAAAACACATTCTGGTTGTCATGCATATCTGGACGTCCGGTTTTGTGACTCTTTTATTGACTTCACTTGCGAATTAATCGTGTAGAGTGGAAATTTAATCCTTAGCAGAAAACAGTTGTCATAACTTAAGGTGCTCTCACACCGTGTTGATTACCAGTTGCCTATGGTTGCGAATAATGGAAGAGGCCATGGGTTTCGAACGCGCTCACAACACAGTTGCGTGAAAGTTGCGTCTGGAGCATATAACCGGTATTCTTATTTGCAACCATACGCAACACTGGTGATCAACTATAACGCGAGGGACCCTTTATGCTAACCAATTGAAAACTGTTATAAATGATTGCATAATACCAGTTAATGTTAATGTTTGTTTACTCACATTATATAGTAAGGATATGATTTATTACAAAACACAAGAAATCCACTTATCAGTTTGTACGAATCCAATCAAATCGCTGCATGCCGTAACACAAGAATAGTTGCTATTGCAGTCAAGTTATAAGACGAAATGAAGTTCGTAATAGCTTGACATTGTATAAGACGAAGTCCGTAATAGCTTGACATTGTATAAGACGAAGTCCGTAATAGCTTGACATTGTATAAGACGAAGTACGCAATAGCTTGACATTGTATAAGACGAAGTACTTAATAGCTTGACATTGTATAAGACGAAGTACGCAATAGCTTGACATTGTATAAGACGAAGTACTTAATAGCTTGACATTGTATAAGACGAAGTACGCAATAGCTTGACATTGTGAGGATGAAGTTTGTAATAGCTTGACATTGTATAAGACGAAGAACTTAATAACTTGTCCTTGTGAAGATGATCGACTGGTGGAAAATTTATTAACAATTCTTTTGATTGAAGTTGTTATTGCAGTTGTTTCTTCAGGCACCGACTCAACCCATATGGTAAATGAGGAAGATAAATCAAAATAGCTATAAATTGCTACAACGCCAACAATTTCAAGCAATTACGAATTTCGTCTTATACCTTGACTGCAATATCCAGTTATAGTTTGTAAATACAGTGATTTGATTAGATTGTAAGCTAGAGACAGAAATGCTGATGGCTTTGTGTCCACAGACACTGATTGGCTGTATTCGGTGATGTACCATCCAATCAAATTGCTTCAATTACAAACTTTCATGATACAAGAGAGGTGACAATTGCAGTCAAGGTATAAGTACGAAGTTCGTAATTGCTTGACATTATGAAAAAAGTAGAACATACGTTCGCCAGGATCTTTAAGTACAATTGGTCAAACGAATGGCGCATCTGTCCCTTTAATTTACAGTGCGTTATTGACATGTCCGCCATTGTTTAGTTTATAACCCAGAGGCAGTGAATACTACATCCGGCTTCCTTTTACTATATCTGTAAAATTAGTTAATTCATGCACTTTCTTTCGGGTTGGTGTGACTTTCACTATTCGCATGCCTGTTCATGCATAAATATAAGGGTATATTATATAATAATTGTTTGTTTTGTGGTCGATTTTTATAGGTTACACTTTCATAAAAGACTTGTCACGATAGCAAAGAAGAAATGTCACAGTTTTTCTTAATTGGAGTTTAGAGAGAACCTTGATACTCGAAATATGCTTAAAAAAAATTATAAAGAGGTTTTCTAAACTTTTTATGTATATCGGGGCGACAGATAGCATCGATATTGACCATTCTAATTTTTTTCTGTGGTTCTGTAATTCCACTAAAACTAAGTGTTTGATGACGTCACACCTGATCGTACATCTCCTTGGAGGAGTCCACTACTACACAACTCTCCGTTTTGTCATACTTTGGACGAGATTTGTCTTGCTTGTACGAATATTTTCATGCTAGTATCACTTTAGACCCTTCGCATCCATCAGCGACAAGGGAAAACCGTGTTGAAAAATTAAAAAAAAGAAAATCTGATTGGGCACCTTTAACTCGAGTTGAAGATGACATTTATCTGTCATGTAATTTATTGTACCTCGAGACAAATGTTTTAATTTGATCATGATATAACAACAAATTATCTCTCATTCGACAGGGATACTCTCATATTACAGGTAGGCATGTACCTTATTGGTCTAATGAAATGAACTGTAGTTTTATATCCTACTGTTCTGAATCTTATTGGACTAATGAAAATAAATGGAGCTTTATATCCTACTGTTCTGTATCTTATTGGGCTAATGAAATGAAATGGAGTTTTATATTCTACTGTTCTGTATCTTATTGGACTAATGAAATGAAATGTAGTTTTATATCCCACTGTTCTGTATCTTATTGGACTAATGAAATGAAATAGAGCTTTATGACCTACTATTCCGTACCTTATTGGACTAATGAAATGAAATATAGTTTTATATCCTACTGTTCTGTATCTTATTGGACTAATGAAATGAAATAGAGTTTAATATTATACTGTTTTTTATCTTATTGGACTAATGAAATGAAATAGGGTTTTATATCCTACTGTTCTGTATTTTATTGGACTAATGAAATGAAATATAGTTTTATATCCTACTGTCCTGCACCTTATTGAACTAATGAAATGAAATGAAGTTTTATATCCTGCTGTTCTGTATCTTATTGGACTAATGAAATGAAATATAGTTTTATATCCTACTGTTCTGCATCTTATTGGACTAATGAAATGAAATGGAGTTTTATGTCCTACTGTTCTGTACCTTATTGGACTAATAAAATGAAATAGAGTTTTATATCCTACTGTTCTGTATCTTACTGAACTAATGAAATGAAATGTAGTTTTATATCCTACTGTTCTGCATCTTTTTGGACTAATGAAATGAATTGGAGTTTTATATCCTACTGTTCTGTATCTTATTGGACTAATGAAATGAAATGGAGTTTTATATCCTACTGTTCAGTATCTTATTGGACTAATGAAATGAAATGGAGTTTTATATCCAACTGTTCTGTATCTTTGTGGACTAATGAAATGAATAGAGTTTTATGTCCTACAGTTCTGTACCTTATTGGACTAATGAAATGAAATGGACTATAAGTTATATTTTTTTGTACTTTTCTACACCTGATATGGATAATGAAAACAGGACAACACCATGCAGTGTGCAATAGTTGACCAGGACAGCAACATTTGCCTAATATTTTCCACTCACATCTGTCAAGGCAACTTAAACTGCACATCCTGAAGACACTCCTGGGTCAATGGAAAATACCATAATGATGTATGTCTACGTTTTGTTTACTGTCTGCAAAGCGGATATACTGTGAACCTTTTGTATTTTTGGATATGTCACTTGAGATTTCACTATTCACGATTAATACAAATTGATATAAAGATGCTAATTCAGATATTCAAATTCTAAACATATTCATTTAAGATCACATTCGTAATGATCGTAATCTTAAAGGGACTGAAGAAAGGTTCTAAAGCCTAACTTCTATGCACTTCGAGTTATCTGTTCAACGTCTGTTCACTTTACAAGTTTATGACTACACCCGTCCCCCTCTCCCCAGTCCCCAGATGACTGGTGCTATTGCCCCCCACCCTCCTCGTCAATTATGTAGCCCGTCTACCTCATGCTTTATATAAACGCCACTGACAAATTCTAGAAAATTCGATTTTAATCTCTGTAACACTTTGAAGGGTCATTTAAGATGAAATTTAACGGATATGAATTTTAAATCATTACCTGATCTTAATAAACAGAAACACGTGTACCACTGATGAATACAACTTCAGTTCACTTGTGGAAAATAAATTGCGAAACCCCTTTTATAAAACATCATAGTACTTTTAGGGCATTTCAAATTGTATGCGCAATAGAATAAGTAGCAGAAAAGGGCAGGAACTTTATTGCAAGGTAAAGTAGTTAGATTTAAATATATATAGATTATAGATCATAAATTATTACAAAAGTCAACAGTAGGCTACATGTAGTAATTGAAAATCTTTGCAACGTTGTGTACAATAAAAACTCAGGAGTAATATACCATATAAACTGATAATGACAATGTAAATTGTTGAAACGATGTGTACAATAAAAACTCAGGAGTAGTATAACATTAAAATGATGACAAGGTAAATTGTAGAAACGTTGTGTACAATAAAATCCAAGAGTAGTATACTATATAAATTGATGATGACAATGTAAATTGTAGAAACGTTGTGTACAATAAAACCCAGGAGTAGTATACTATATAAATTGATGATGACAATGTAAATTGTAGAAACGTTGTGTACAATAAAACCCAGGAGTAGTATACCATATAAACTGATGATGATAATGTAAATTGTTGAAACATTGTGCAGAATAAAACCCAGGAGTAGTATACCATATAAACTGATGATGACAATGTAAATTGTTGAAACATTGTGCAGAATAAAACCCAGGAGTAGTATACCATATAAACTGATGATGACAATGTAAATTGTAAAACGTTGTGTACAATAAAACCCAGGAGTAGTATACCATATTAACTGATGATGATAATGTAAATTGTAAAACGTTGTGTACAATAAAACCCAGGAGTAGTATACCATATGAACTGAATTCGACGATGTAAATTGTAGAAACGTTGTGTACAATAAAACCCAGGAGTAATATAACATATAAAATGATGATGACAATGTAAATTGTTGAAACATTGTGTACAATAAAACAAGTTCATCAGTGCAATACCATCAGTGTAAAGCAAAACAAACAATTCAAACAAACTTTGACACCACAGTTACTGTTTTCTATACGGACACGAAATCTTTGATGGCGATTGTAAAAAGAGTACATGACATAAGACACCCCTGTCTCACACCCAAGGAAGTTATGAATCAATCAATACGATTATTAATTCAGACTGCACGTTTTGTTATATTGTGTATAACTGTAATGCACTACTTCTGATTTTATTACACAGCACGTTTCGAAACGCATACAGGTAATTTGAATACATCTTAGTGTTTTAATGTAACCGTCCTACTTCTATATGTCTTATTATAACATTAACTATCTTATTTGTTACAGCACCAGTAAGGATATGGAGTATATTTTATCTATCTTGTGCCTTGCAGTTTTTACATCCAAATTGGTGCAATCCGAAGGTAAGGTTCATACTTTATAATATCTTCGTTAATGTAACAAAGAAAGAAAGAAAAAAAAGGAAATTCATGCGTAACTTTTGATTTGTCTCTGTTTAGAAACGGTTTTCAAAAAATAGTATGCTACACCACGATCACCGTGTATAATCGAAGATTAAGGTTTAAAACGTTATAACAGTGACTAGTGACTCGTTCAGTAGACAAAACAATGAAAACATTACGTAACGTTATAACAGAGTGACTCGTTCAGTAGACAAAACAATAAAAACACTACGTAACGTTACAACAGAGTGACTCGTTCTGTAGACAAAACAATAAAAACACTATGTAACGTTATAACAGAGCGACTCGTTCAGTAAACAAAACAATAAAAACACTACGTAACGTTACAACAGAGTGACTCGTTCAGTAGACAAAACATCAAAATTTAGACTGTTATTTTCATTCTATTCTTTTCAGATGGTTCTATATGGAACGAAAGAGCACAAAAAGATCTCAAAGACTCCTTGAATCTGGTGCCAAATTTGAATAAAGCTAAAAATGTGATATTATTTTTGGGTGACGGGATGGGTATTAATTCGGTATCTGCCGCTAGACTGTACAAAGCCCAACTAACTCAACAGGAAGAAGGGACGTCGACGTTGGCTTTTGAGAAATTTCCTTACATTGCCTTATCGAAGGTAAGCTTCAAGAGCTGCATTTACGTCAACGCCAACGCACACAATGAAGTTATGGGATATTCTGCTTACAGTTTCTTTGCGGTACTATTGGTGTTGTTTGCGTAACGTTTCGATAATTTACATCTTTATATGTATCAAAATCGATTTGTGTTATTTCAATTGTGAAAGTTCATTCTGTTTTTTCAGACGTACAACACTGATAGGCAGACCCCAGACTCTGCGGGAACGGCTACGGCATTTTTATGCGGTGTGAAAGCTAATTTAGGAACAGTAGGAGTTAATAGCAATGTTCCACGGTTTAATTGTTCATTGGAAGAGGGTAATACAGTTCAATCAATAATAGATTGGTCGGAGGCAGAAGGTAAGCACACTGCTTTCAAAATCTTCAAGGGTTGCCATAAGGTCGTGGAGAACCATCTGGTGCCATGAAGGCTACACAACAATCGTTTCGGTCCGTTGTATGACGTAATTTTCATCTTCGGCTCAATTTACCAGTGGCTCAACTACCAGAGGGATAAGTGTCTATCTCGATTTCCATTTCTTTCAGGCAAATCTACCGGGATAGTAACTACCGCTAGAGTAACTCATGCCACACCAGCAGCAGCCTACGCCCACAGTGCTGATAGAGATTGGGAGAATGATGTTAATGCAAACGGCAGCTGTAAAGACATAGCTCGACAACTTATAGAAGACAATTCTCATATTGAAGTAAGTTAAATGTCGGTGCTTAGGAAGGCTTGGGGTGCATCAAGCACGGGGTCAGGTGGTCATAACGGGCTTTGAGATTTTGATTTGATCAAGGAGGTTTTTTCTGATAGTGTTATGGACAAGTAATCTGTTACATCAATTTTAAATGAGTAGCCATCGACATATCGGTAACCATTATCGAGCTGTTTTGTATCAGAAAGTTGTTATGATGGTATTATTTTGCAGGTAATTCTGGGTGGTGGACAGCGAGAGTTTATTCCTGAAGGAGATGGCGGAAGACGCACAGATAACAGAACATTAACAGAGGTTTGTATAAATAAATACATTTACTAAGCAGTGGCGGAGCCAGGTTCACGTTCGATGGTGGGGTGGATGATATCTGAGATTGCCAGAATTTTTAACCTAGTTATGCGATTTTTGCCCGAAAAACGAGGGGACGTAAATCAACCCGAAATCCAAATAACATTAAGGTTAACCCCTATTTTAGTGACCATTACTATCGTAGTGATGTGAGAAAAAAACCAATGTTGAAGCAATCAGATGTAAAACTTCAATTAGTGAATAAATATATCGACTTCACTGGTTGTGTACATATCAACAGAATGTAAAACTTCATTTCATTTCCAATGTAGGAATGGATAGAATCTATCAAAGCTAAGAAGAAAACCGGCCACTATGTTACTACGGATACTGAATTTAAAACCGTGGATCTTAGTAAAACAGATCACTTATTGGGTAAGTCTAATAGACAGTTTAAAAGGTTTCAAGTCTGCCTTGCATATCATCCATTTAAATTTGATTATTATTTCTTTTCATGTCTTGACACATTCTACAATTTGAATCTTTTACTCTTGAAACATTGGACTGAAAGAATTTGGAACCCAGAGGAGTTTTTACAGATTTACTCGATCAGTAGATGAATCATAGCAGTAAGTGGGTAACTACAGGTCCGATGGTTGCTGAAAAACGAAATAATGTTACAGTTGCCAAGCAATGCCGTTAACAAGCAATTGACGTCATATATGCTACCAATGGTCGCATAAGTCTTATCTGTTAACTAGAGCGTTTTGAGGAACGTATATGACGATAGAATCCTCATTGAAGGATATGACAATAATCCCCTTTAGTAACCACGTTGCTTAGCAACATCCTCGCGTTTCTAAGCAATTACCGTAGCTCCCAATGTCCATGTCATACTAAAATGTCATCGTTTTTCTAAATTCTAGGATTATTCGCCATGTCTCATATGGATTATGCTATTGATAGAAATGACAGTAATAATGAAAATGATCAACCTTCGCTAGCTGAAATGACAGCCACCGCCCTGAAAATTCTTCAGAAAAATGACAAAGGGTTTTTCCTTTTAGTGGAAGGTAAGTAGTGTGTATCCGTACGATAGATTGGTAAAGATAAAGATGCCTTCTACTCGCCCCAGCTTTGCTCATAAAGCCTTTGTCATAAGGGTTATACAGCTTTTTAGGGTTTTGGCTTTGATGTTAAGCATTTTTGTCACGCTGATGATGTTGTCTTTGCAGGTGCCCGCATAGATCATGGTCACCATGAAAACTGGGCGAAAAGAGCTCTTTATGATACCATAGCTTTTGATGAAGCGGTGGAAGAAGCTTTGAAAAACACCGACAAAGAAGATACTTTGATTGTCGTGACAGCTGATCATTCTCATGCCTTCACAATGGCAGGCTATCCCGAAAAAGGAAATGATATTTTTGGTAAGTATAAAGCTGGGATTTTGTGCTCTGGAAATATGTAAGACAAAAGATGGGACCGAGATGTCAGAGTGTCAAACGACAGAAAAGAGAGGATTGGCTAATGTAGAAGCTACATACTCAGTTCCTTTAACACTGGAATTTTGCTCTGGAAATACGTTCAACATCAAAGGTGCTGAGTTCACAAGAGTGGCATGCAGGCAGATTGGATTGGTATCAAAACTTTGCACTTGCCCAATTAGCCATCCATAGAGCATCCAATCTGTGTCCACCATTGAATTTAGCTAATTGAATGAATGTAGACAACTTTGACTGAACACAAGATTAAGAGGAATTTGGTCAGATCTTGTAAAAGTAAGTACGAAGCAAAGCATTTATAACTGCGTCTTCACCAAATGGTTTTTATTTTGCATTTTAACTTCAGGTATAGTAAAACCAGTAAAAGAAGGCAGTGAACCTGAAGATGGTTTACCCTATTTAAGTTTGGTTTATGGTAATGGTAAAGGGGCTATGTTTGACAACAATGGCACAAGAAGAAATTTCACCGACGTTGATACGCGTAAGTAAAGATTTACACCATCAACAGTCACTTACATGCATAAGTAATGTCAAGATTTTCCCCTAATATCCTTAGCAATATTACTATCACTTGACAAATAATTGTAAAATACCGGAAGTAAAGAGTTTCGACCAAGAAGACAACGAAATCTACCATTCGAAATCTTCAGCTTTACGGAAACTACCGGAGATTGCCGAATGCCATCTAATGAGCAATTATTACCCGTACTATGACGACTTTGGTGACTTTAAGCGGTCAAAAGTGACGACCGATGAATTCTGAGAACCGAAAGTCGGATTGTAATTCGGAAAAGAGTTGTTGATAGCTGGAAGTTATCTTTATCAACTGGCAAAGATAATACTTCGACGAATGCATCTCTTTTTTTATATTTTCTTAAATTTATTTTCATTTCAGATAACAATGACTTTAGGTTTCACGCCGCAGTTCCGTTACCATATGAAACACACGCTGCCGAGGATGTGGGGATTTTTGCAACAGGACCAATGTCTCATCTATTTCACGGTGTTCATGAACAGAACTATATAGCTCATGTCATGGCCTACGCGTCGTGTGTGGGGATAAACAAGGATCATTGTAAACCAAAGCCTAATGACGGCCCAATTTCAGGAACTAACAGCGAGTACTCTGTGATACCAAAAGTTTTATTTATAACTGTAGTTTATATCTTATTACAAGCTTTTGAACTTCCTTAAAGATGGGTTCCCTTATTTTCATTTATGAAAATGAAAATGCTAATATTTATATGAATAGAAAGTAGAGGTGTTCTAATGACTTGGAAAATTCCAGCAGAATTCCAATGTGTGACCGATCAAGAAAGGTAAAAAAGACTTTTTTTGTTTATCCAGACTGTACATACATGTTCATATTTTATGATTGGTTAAAACTCTATATTATATGCAATAAGAACATAATGATATGATTAAGAATACATGATAATTCATTAAAAACACCAATTAATCAAATGGTTTGCTTCATTTGACAGTAAAAAATAAGGAAACCTATCTTTAAGTAGGAATTTGTAATTGGGGGATAAATAACTGGACACAGTTATATTGGATAACAAATACTTTAATAAATAACTTGCTTGATAAAGACGAAAGCATCATCGTTGAAACGTCGCAAGTTATTTATTAGAGTAATTGTTATCTATAAAATTGTGTCCAGTTATTCCAAACTTGGTTTTAAAAATTTTTTTTTTTTATTCATATAGATATATATATATACTACAAAAGTCCATCATTATGTCGGCATTTATTTCGTTATCGTGTTTAATTGTATATCCGTGTGTTTCTCACATTTTTAAAGGGATTGTAAAAAGGTTTTTTCAATTGGGGACACTGATAACATCAATTTGTATCATTCCAATTTTTGTCAGACGTCTGTGATTGCTGCAATTCGACAATGAAGGTTATTGTTTGATGACGTCACTAATCGCGATGGGCCCTATGTTATAAAGCATACTTGGCGATTAAGTAGTTCAGTTGTATTCGAATTGCAAGAATCACAGACATCTGATTGAAAATTGGAATGTTATGCCAGATACACATGAACAATTTAGAAATACTCTTTACAATCCCTTTAATGTATGTATATATTTGTATCAATTTCTTTGTTTGTATTATCTGTGTGTACTATTACAATTGTAGATGAAAATTATTTGATGCAGCTATGGCCAAATAAATTGAATAAAATTAGTAAAAAATGTCTGTACTAAACGTAAAATATGAAGAATCTTGATATAAAATATTACAGTGAGTTATTGTATTAAGTTATAAATAGATAAACGGTTTTCGGTGCGACGAATCAATACAGAAGCAAAGAGAAGATCGTACACTTCATCTAATATCTAAGATCTTAATAATTCATTTGTAGTTCAAAAACTCTGAACGTATTAAATCATATATTTTTTTTTATCAATTTGCACCTTTTTATCAAGTCGAGGACAATTCTTAAAAAATTGATAAAGAAAATAATTTCTTTTTTGAAACTTGCAAAAAAAAGTTTGTAAACAGCTGGTATCTGATCCTTGGACGCGGATTAAAAATCTTAACGTCACTCAACATAAATATGAGAGACTTCATAAGTATTTTTTTAATTATTGAATGTGATTTTACAATGAATAATATCAACTGGAGATCTGTTTGATCAATATGTCACTGTTAACGACGTGATAAACTACAAGATGTTGTAAACGTAGTCAGTGTCCAGCTATTCAACTTACGTCCAGACCGTTAAGTACTTAATAAAAAATAGGCGTGGATTATTGTAGATTATTCAAAATAAAATTATTAATGAGTCAAAACGAAATATCAATTTTATTTTAATTTCTAAGATATTATCAAACAATTACTTTTAACAAAAGAGATCAAAAAATGACACAGAATTTTTAAAACTAGCTAATATGATTAGCTCTTGCCATGACATGACGCCGTGGTCAATTGACTTGGAAAGAAGATATTGCATTTTTACTATGTATTTTGTATTTTGTATTTTAAATATTGTACCCCAAAATTGGTGAAAATTTAGGGCAGGGATCATTTTGTAGCGTTTCCAGATGTCAGAAGAGTTATCGTTTGCCAAGCGTATGGGGGTCGTACCTTCGGCACGTTACCACTTCTGATAACAAGGCCAATGCTTCTGGGGATCAGCATTATGTTGACAAATCAAATCTTTCAGAATTCAGTGTTTTTATAAGAAAATAATTCTTAAGGACTTCTGCAATTTAAGTTACAGGAGTTAACTCCCTTCTAATTTTATAAAAAGTATATAAAAAAATGATGTAAACATGTAAATTAATTAATATAAAAATTATAAAATCACATAATTCGAGTTTCTATCTCTATTACATTATTAAATAGATATTGTTCGAAATATTAAAACAGACCCTGAAACATGTTATTACTCAGAATTTAATGCTGTTAGATCTGTTTAATGTTTCTATAAATATAATTGTATAACGTTTGAATTGACCACTATTTTGATAGTGAAAATAACATAATATGGTATAATTGAAGTCAGGTATTCCCTAGACGTATTAATACACAGATGAAATGGTAAGAGGACAATTCGACTAGAAGAAACAGTAAGTACACAATTAGCCACAAAGATATTTCATCAGCATGACTAAGTACTAAATGTTTGCCATGCACCTGGGTTTAACACGATGGATTTTTTTAAGATTAGCAATCCAGGTGTACTCGCCAAGCTGATGAAATTTCTCTGGACTCTATGATTAAACAGAATATGACTATACACATGATTGTCTTAGTTAAATAGCTACATAATGGAGAACTGGCGATATTTTAACCAATTATGTCGAAGATCGAACAAAGCTTGTTTCACGCTCCAAATCTCCTCCATTTCACCGGCTGTAAATTCGTGTCCGTTGATGAGGGAGAGGAAAGACCACGACCTCACTGTCTCCTGTACATAGGAAAATCCGCAATGTCCAAGAAGAGTTGCCCCGGCTTGCGTCCCACAAATACCCGTCACAAATACGTCCTCTGGAGGTAACGTTGGCGACCGTTCCACTGCTTTGAGCATGACCGGAAGCAGATCGACAGATATGACGTAAGAAGCTCCGGTGACATACGCTGGAAATCTATCAAAAAGATAATCGCGCTTGGGTAAAAAGGACTTGGAGCTGACGTCACGAACAGGTATGTTGTTCATGAGAAGGTAGCCCAGAATAACCCGTGGAACGCGAATGGAATACAATAGATCTAGTAGACGTGGAATGTCTATAAAAACGTCCTCGTCTATTTTAAGAATATATTTCGATGCTGCGCAATATTGAAAACACCACTTTAGGACAGAGACACTCTTGAACGTCAAATTTCTATACGTATCCTCGTAGTCTATGATGACTATGTCTCTATGGCGTTCACTTTCCAGTTTCAGCTCGCTAGTAGACTCAAACTTCTCTCGTGGAACTCCTAAAAAAAACACAAAATTCACGCGTCCGTGTAAGGAATTTGACGCCCAAGTTTTCCGGATAACGTCACGTCTTTCATAACTGGATGTTCGAGATACGATACAAACTGTCAAATACTGTGATGGATTTGAGATACTGCACGGTCGTCCAGCTTCAATGAACTGTATACTTGGCACATTATAGATTACGGTCGATTCCGTAATATTTTGGTAATTCTCGGTGAAATGTTTGTATGGGTGTAAATGAATTGGCTGACACAAAAGAGAAGGCATTCTGTCAGATGGCAGAAAATGGATCAATTCCTTCATCGCCATGTAAATAATGACATTCAAAATAACAAAAATAAAGAACTTTAAAATGCTTACGACAAACAAGGCCATTAATAAACGAACTCGTCTATAGCTGAGAGAGAGCTCACTCGATAGCGAGTTGTATTGCCGTCTGTCAAATAACTCGGTCAGTTGCCAGTAAGATGGTCGTCTGCTATCATTCTTCGTATCCTCCATTATATACAGACTGGTGTAGAGGTCGATTCACATCTCTGTTGTAGTTTATGCTGATTAGATAACAAAAAGAAAACGTTTTAAACTTACAAGCATGTTCGCATGTGTTCACAGAAAGAGCTTATCAACTCACCGGTCGAATTATTAAATACACGGGTCAAGGTCATTAAACAAACACAGCGTCCAGTAGATTTTCATCGTTTTGTTGTTGTCGGATACACTAAATGTTTTGAATGGTTTTGGATATTGAATTAAAGATAAACAAAAAACGAAACAATATATATCACTCGTTTTTCCAACCAAGCAATCGATACGCTTGCATGTTGCTATTTTTACATACCGCACCCTCTCCAAATGTCTCCAAACGTTTCAAATTGCTTATCACTGAATTCTTAAATGCTTGATGTTGATTCCCCCCCCCCCCACCCCCCTAAAAAATTATTTGGTCCCTCCATAGGGGTAATAAGAATAAGACGCACATGGCCCGGCCTGTAGCCCCCCTCCCCCTAACTTAATATTTCACGGTGAAATCATCGAGCGCATGACCATGAGTGTAGAGTAGGGGTCTAGTCTGATGTTGGTATCCACCTTTATTGAGTAGCAAAAAAAAGCAAGTCGTAAATCAATATAATTTTCATTGTGCTCACAAAAGATACAGACCTAGCACACATAATAATTTCAATAAAAACAATAGCAATAGTTTGGTATTTAGGGGTTATAAGTAATAAGGACACTTAAAGTTAATACCAATAAAATAGAAGTAAGACAAAACCAAAATGATTTTGGGGACTATATTATAGACCCAAAAAACACATGTATTTCCTCTACTTGATTGTCTAGATTGTTCTAAAACCAAATATATAAACTTACAAATGGATTTTGACTTGTCAAGTCAAGTAACATGTGTTTCATTATTGTACTCTATACACTTGGAATTTGACATTTCTCGAGTGAAATTATGTACATGTACTTGATTTATATACTATACACGCAAGAGTATTAAATTCTTGTTTATTAGACCTAATAGCGGACCTCGAATCACTAGGCATAATAACCGAAGTTATTGTTTTGCGCGCTATTAAGTAACCACCTATGAAATAGCGCTTGTATAATACGTAACGTATACTAGCCTATGTGATAGAAACGTATCTACTAAAATACAATGTATAATATACATAAATTATCACTCTAATTGGCACAAAAGACGAATACGTTCGACCAGGATAGGTCGTACATCAAATCGTAGTCAGATTTCCATGGTTCTTGCAATTCTAGTAACGATGCAATTGCCACTGTCCCTATGTAATATGGACAGTAGACTTACGACATTAGCATTCTGCCCTTACCTCACAGTGCCCTGACCTCATCAGTGTATAATATAACGGTTCTTCCACATGCGAAAAATTAATGTTATGTGAATCAAATATGCTTCTAATTGAAATTTGCGAGCACTATTTGCGGCATTGTATCTGATGTACATCCGGCCTAATTTTACGAGCACTATTCGGGTATAGTATAGTTGCATCCAGTCTCATTTTGCGAGCACTATTTGCAGAACAGTGTAAGTTTGTATCCAGTGTACAGCCATCCTAATTTGCGAGCCCTATTTGCGGCATAGTGTAAGTTTACATCCAATGTGCATCCAGACTAATATTTTGAGCACTATTTGTGGCATATGTATATACAGCCTAATTTAGCGACCATTATTCGGTTATAGTATAGAGAGAATCCGGCTTAATTTCGCGAGCACTATGTGTGGTAGAGTTTTTGTCTATTGGTCGAGAAGGTGGTCAACCATTCCACGGACAGACATGACAAACCAATCACTATCCCGATCGTTATAATGTAGAAGGCACTCTGTATGTCCAGTAACTCTATTGCCTTGACCCCTGGAACGTTTGAACCACCGCACATGTCTTTACTCGTCATCCATTTTCTTTCCCATGTTTGGAGAATTCCGATTTCATACAACCTCATCATCCTGAAACAACAGCTTTGTTTTGTGAGGAGAGGCTACTCATTGAACAATTTAAGACTCCAAATACGTTTTAATATTTTGAAAATATATAATTGTTTGTGAAAAACGACATTTTTGAATGAAAAGGGAAGTTACTCTTCGAAAAATCCTGACCACAAATATGTAACATCAACATTGTTTTGTGAAAATCGGGATTTTTGAATGAAAGGGAGAGTATCATGTGAGCATTCAAGACCACAATAATTATGTTATATCATGGTACCCAAGGTAGATAACTGTTAAAAGTATTCTTGATTAAAATATCTCCCATGCTATCCCAGTCTGTTTCAAAATTGATGATGGGAATACTAGAAAAAGAGAACAGACAAAAGCCAAAAAATCCAATTGAGACAGTCAACGATATATACAAGAAAAATTACTTACTCATCGAACAGGAGTTTATAGTATGGCGAATCCTTGGGGATAGTTAAAGCGTAATTCATAGGTAGGAAAGACTCTTTCAATATCACCCAATCGCAATTGTTCTTCAATTGATAATTCAAACTAATTTTATCAGCAATCAGGGCATACGACCCATCGTCAACCTTATCATAATGGACTTTAATGTCGCTGTTAAGTACATCCGGGTCTGTTTTGTTGAACTCTTTGATTCCATCCCATATTCGTATGATTTCACTTCGATTCGACGTCTGAAATATAAAGGAATAGTATCACAATATGAATAGTTCATTAGCTGCTACCAGTCCTATTGTTCTGTTCTGTTTTTTTTTGGACTAATGAAATGAATTGAAGTTTTACGTCAAGAATTAAATAAAAGTAGAATAGTATTAAAGATGGGTTCCTTTATTTCCATTTATGAAAATGAAAATGCTAATTCTTATATGAATAGAAAGTAGAAGTGTTCTAAAGAAAAATACCAGTTTGTCTCATAATTAATTCATAATTAGCTAAATCAGAAGAGAATTATAAGCAGAATTCCAATGAGTGACCGATCAAGAAAGGTCAATTGTCATACGTGAACATTTGTGATTGGTAATAACTCTTAATTATATGCAATAAGAACATAATGATATGATTAAGAATACATGATAATTCATTCGAAACACCAATTAATCAAAAAGTTCGCTTAATTTGAAATTAAAAAATAAGGAAACCCATCTTTTAATTATTCAAAAGAGGCTTCTAGCCTATTTCATCTTCCTTTGACATAATAAGGTGCCAAATTGTAACTGCGATATGAAATCAGATCAAGCCTGGCTGGAATTCCAGGAACGGAGATGCCAGTTGTCTTAGCATGAACATACCTCAAGAAATGTCTCCCAAACACTACTGCCTACAGTTCCCCATCTATACTCGCTCTGCTGACCAAGTTCCATCAAGGACGTCAACGGTTGTTGATCTTTAGTAACGGTTAAAAACGCTATTAAATTCCCACTGTAGGCAGCGACCAAAATGATGGAAAACAGCCACCAGAAAGCCACGATACATCTTCCACTCGCTGATTTTGGTTGGTTTGAGCAGCCTGCAAAATGGAAGTCATAATGCAATGTCGAAAATAGGAAACTGATGAGTGTGCATGGTGTTAAGATTCGGGATATTCACATGCACACCGTTGAATATTACGAACTTTGGAAAGCGGAAATCGCAGGTTTTCAAAAACATTCTTTCCAAATGATAGTTTCTGTGATAAGAATGAGACTAGAGCATACCAAACTTTCGTGCAGTTACCAAACTAACGAGAAGATTGCTGGGTACAATGACAGTTATCTGTGGTCAGAATGGGACTACAGCATAGCAAGGAAGTCTTGTTACAGTGACAGTTTCCTATCGCGTGAAACCACAATTTTACTTGCCTTGTGCTAGTAAAGCTCCGTACAGGTAAAGGAACATGTCAGTAAATTTGGGAATCTGGTTGGTTTTGTAGAAAGGATTCTGTCTCTCAATGGTGTAGAGTAGCAATAGTAACAATATAAACGATATAATGATGCATAAGAACACTTCCCATTTAAACGGAGCCAATAATTTCTTCCATTTACTCAGATTAGGATCCGGTAGTTTATATCCGACTCCACTGTAGTCGTAATAATACGGAAAGGAGAAATCCACAACTGTAGATCGCTGTGAAGATATAGCTAGTGGACTCACAGACATGTCAGCTTTCTGAAAAATATTGGATGTAATGGATTAGTAATTGATGGAAAATGTCTAAGTAATGAGTAAGTGGTGGATAAGTAATGGATAAGTAATGAGTAAGGAATGGATGAGTAATAGGTAAGTAATGGGTAAGTAATAGGTAAGTAATGAGTAAGTAATGGATAAGTAATGAGTAAGTGATGGATAAGTGATGGATAAGTAATGAGTAAGTAATGGATGAGTAATAGGTAAGTAATGGGTAAGTAATGAGTAAGTAATTGGTAAGTAATGAGTAAGTAATAGGTAAGTAATGAGTAAGAATGAGTAAGTGATGGATAAGTAATGAATGAACAAGTAGAGTTGATCAGTATCCTCGAGGGTCAATAAAATGAAATTTTGTCGCAGAGTGTTCTCTTCTTGATTTGACTAATGCAATGACACTCTGTTTGAAAAAGACAAGTACCCGCATCGAAACGTTGTAATTGTTTTTGTAATGTTTTCTTGTGTCAAGGCAATCAATCAAGAAATGCCCCTGAAAGAAAAAACTCATCTTACATTTTCCGACAACTCTTTGATGATTCCAGTCCAACTTCCGTTAACCACGTGACCCCACATATCATCTGCCGGTTCCGCAAGTATGTAACTGAAATTTACAGTGAGTTTACAGTTCAAACACCAAAACAATAGTTATGTGGTCTTTTTAGACAAGTAATCGTAACGCAATGGAAATTTGGAACGTCATTGGACGATCAGTGGTTTCAGAAAACGAATCATTTGTAAATGTGCTCAAATATCACTTCCCTTTTGAGGAGCCCACTGCTATGCAACTTTTACTCCTGATTTTGCCATTGTTTGTACGAGATTTTTAATTGCCGGAATTTTTGTCACTCATAAACTCACATTGCGTGTACTGGCTAAAACATGATTAAACTCGTTATGGGGAAAGTTTATAAGGAAGACACATATGTTTATTGTATATATCATAATGAACTCTGATTTCTATTCGTCTGAACGAATTAGTTTTAAGTAACTTATGGGAATTATCAATTTCTCACAGATAGAGATTAATTGAACCAATTATAGTGAAGATAAGGAAGAAGAATAAACCGAGTTTAAATTCAGGCCACATTGGAGTATGACTTGCGCCTCTTCAATAATTTTCAATAACATTTTTACAGCCAATCATAGCTGTGGACAGAAAGAGGAAACAAACTTAAGTGATAAGCATATACGTAGAAAAAACTGAAGGCCTTTTCAGAAAGTGATGAAATGATGGGTGACCAGGACGATCAGGGGTTGGGGGTGGATGATATCAATGGTTGTAACGTAGATAGACTACTTACCTGAAGTTCATGGAGACTGAGATTTCTTTTAATAAGTCAATTGAAAGACCAATGAAATGTGTTTTATTATTTCTCAATCCTTTGATAATAAATGGGAACCACTGTATGAAAAAATATGAACACAAACATATTCAGAAAAATTGCCATACTTCATCCCTTTAGCTTGAGATAACGTAAAAAAACGCAACGTGGAATTTTATTTCTGAAATAGTCGTGTCGTATCAATATGTAACTGGAGAAATGTTTAAAACCAAAGTATAACCTACCATTATGCAGAATAACTACTTTCGCTTTGATAAAGTAAGCACTTGCCTCTTTCACTAAGACATTTAACGTCTTGTTGTTAAACCCATTGTAGGTGTTCGGGAACAAATAACTTTCCCCTGTGACGCTCGAATTCCCAGACGTTTGGCCCACAAGGTTGAACTCGCGACCTTCAGTTTTCCAAAGTAATGTATGTACATCGGCCAATAAACAACCAGGGTCGGTGGTTAATCCCTGAAAGTAAGCATAGAATTGAGGAAACGAACATCGAAATAATCACGAATTTAGGCGAGCAACAGAATATGGCATGGGTGCTAAAAGCTAGGGTTTTATAAATGAAAATAGACGTGGTATAATGCACGTTGAAATACGTAGGCATGTATTTGGGCATGGAAATAGGCATTGATATTTAGAAAGTGGAGTGCATAGATTTAGGTATGAATGAATACACAGACACTAGAATGGCAGTCGGCATGAAACGGTTGCAGACCAACATACTGTCATTAAAGCAGAAATGGATTAGCATTCAACTAATAGCAAACCGACCCGTATAAACTGGTCTTTGATATCTGCATCCCAATTTTCAGTTGCAGGAATCTTGTTGGTTGACAGAATTATGTCTTTGATTTCACTTACAATACTCTGGAAAGATAAAATGTTTCAGTAAATAACTGAAAGTCTGCATTAGTCCAATAAGATATAGAACAGTAGGATATAAAACTATATTTCATTGTATTAGTCCAATAAGATACAGAACAGTAGGATATAAAACTCCATTTTATTTCATTAGTCCAATAAGATACAGAACAGTAGGATATAAAACTCTATTTCATTTCATTAGTCCAATAAGATACAGAACAGTAGGATATAAAACTCTATTTCATTTCATTAGACCAATAAGATACAGAACAGTAGGATATAAAACTCTATTTCATTTCATTAGACCAATAAGATACAGAACAGTAGGATATAAAACTCTATTTCATTTCATTAGTCCAATAAGATACAGAACAGTAGGATATAAACTCCATTTCATTTCATTAGACCAATAAGATACAGAGTAATAGGATATAAAACTCCATTTCATTTCATTAGTCCAATAAGATACAGAACAGTAGGATATAAATTCCATTTCATTTCATTTGTCCAATAAGATACAGAACATTAAGATATAAAACTCCATTTCATTTCATTAGTCCAATAAGATACAGAACAGTAGGATATAAAACCCCATTTCATTTCATTAGTCCAATAAGATACAGAACAGTAGGATATAAAACTCCATTTCATTTCATTAGTTCAATAAGGTACAGAACAGTAGGATATATAACTCCATTTCATTTCATTAGACCAATAAGGAACAGAGCAGTACGATATAAAACTCCATTTCATTTCATTAGTTCAATAAGATACAGAACAGTAGGATATAAAACCCTATTTCATTTCATTAGTCCAATAAGATATAGAACAGTAGGATATAAAACCCTATTTAATTTCATTAGTCCAATAAGATACAGAACAGTAGGATATTAAACCCTATTTCATTTTATTACACCAATAAGATACAGAACAGTAGGATATAAAACTACATTTCGTTTTATTAGACCAATAAGATACAGAACAGTAGGATATAAAACCCTATTTCATTTCATTAGTCCAATAGGATACAGAACAGTAGGATATAAAACTCCATTTCATTTCATTAGTCCAATAAGATACAGATTAGCACAATAGTGTACACATTAGTAGGGTTATCAAAATACTGTTTTGGTGCGGACAAATTTCAAACCCCTACCTGTGTTATTTTATTAATATTTGTGGAATGCTCGTCAAGTTTCATCTGTACCACCGCCACATTGTCCAACAGTAGATCTTTAAATTCAGCCATCTCTAAATCATTCCCATTATCAACTACAAGCCATTTTGACAGTTGGCGAATGGCGGTCTTCTTTTTCATCAAAGAATCAAAGTCGTTTGCCTGTTGGAACAACATAAACAAAAGCTGTACTTGCTTGCAGGAGATGTGATGTGACTAATCCGATCAAACGTTCTAAGTTCTAACGTAACATAATTGGCGAAACATTGGTAGCAGCTTATGAACTTTCACATGAGAAAGTATATCAATCATGAATGAGTAAGTATTTCATAATGAAAACTGGTATCAGGTGTCTGGAAGAGTTAGCATAAGTAATTGAATTCATAAGCATTAAAAAAAGCTACATGTCTATATGTTACGGATTCGTTAGCCCGTTTGAACAATGCGTCAATTGAAACTCCCATACTTACCAAATTTAACACTTTGTTAGTGCATCTTTTGGAACAAAATACTAGATAATTTCTGTTCTTATCGTCAAGAGTAGAATAAGTTTTTCTCATAAACCATAACAGGTCATTGATGGTGTCTACATTTAGTGAGATAATCTGTAATCCTCTCGAGAACATTGTTTCTGCTAACTCTGTTATTGGTGCTTCTGGAAGTATGAGGTCATCGGTCAAAGGGCGTTACATAACAAAAAATATTCGGAATTTATGACGTTAACAAGACGTAACGAAAAGCCACCAACGTTTGAATTGCGCAAAAGAAACCTTACATACCCCCTATGCTCTACCATAGCATATTTCATCCTGAAAGTGTTTCAGATAACACAGATGGAGTTATATCAGCGGCTACACTAATATTCAGACGTCCCTTGAATTGAACAAAAATCCTTACCCGTCGAGTTGTCATGAACAAGTACAGTAGGATAACTTTCAAAATGTTCCAAAATAGACCACAGAATCACCATCACGTGATATTTTGTTGGTCTGGTATCAAAACGTTTGGGATATGTCATTCTACAAATTTTCTGACCCCCGGATCGTACAGCAGGTGGTCTGTAACAGTACATCTCATGCATCTGGGACAGGACACGTTTTATGTAGTCGGCCTCACACGACTGGTCAAACATCAAGACCACATCAAATTCGCTTGTATTTACCATTTTCAGAGCTGTAAGAGGCGTGTCGAGGTTTAATAGACCAATTGCTTCACTATTACGCGACATGACATTATAAGAAGCTCGTGCCACCTCCAGTCTTTTAAAATCTTTGGAAGAGATTTTTGATTGACTGGAATCGTCTTGCTTGTGCGGACGTCTACTTTGGGCTAATACAGTTTGTGGTTATGGGAGTAATTACTGCAAAAGATTCACCCCTAAGCATGAAAACGCATTATGTGTTCTATGTTAGCCGGGCAAAAAATAGTATTCCAACCACCAACACCTTACCCATCACAAAAACAGTTTTCCCAGCTTGGAATTCAACGCCAATGACAAGCCTGTCAGGTTTTTCAACCAACTGTTCAAACATGACCAATTCAATAGGAAGCTGAAGTCCTTTGCTCAAAAATGGAATAATGAAAGATGTTTCAAAAACACTTAAAAACGAAAATGTTTCCTTACCTCTGCTCAGTGAAAGGTAATAATCATATTTATTTAGTATTACCGTATTAATCGTTATCAATATTTCTGTTTCATTTTGTTTTACTACTGCTTGGTCGACCCTGAGCCTTTCTCGAGAGTTGTACGTATTTGCTGCCGTCATATATAGCAGACCTAGATCAGATTTGAAATGAAAAGATATTCGTTTATTCGTTTATTCATTATTTGAGCACTGCTACAATAACTGCTCTTGTGATTATGACTGCCACAGCAAGTAATAATTAGTTTCCCAAAACATCTGATATCACTCTGCGCTTTAGTGTTCGTGGTTCGGAGTGTGGCGAATTCAAATAAGTGATCATTATTCTAGTTGACCTTCCGACACCCGTGTTTCTGTTAATCAACTCGGAGTCTGATCTTGAGATTTTAGATAATTATACTATATTTATCTTCATTGTAGTATAAGAACGTCTTAAAATAAACATACCTACTGAAAAACCTCGTGTTCCAACTGCAACCTGCATCAATAAAAAGACTCGAACCCACATTTTTGGTTTTGTAATGAAACAGTTTAGTTCACAGTAAAGAGTGTAATCAGCGAGGCGTTGAAAAAAGAATTCCTTTTTATAAGGTTAATCTGCAGAATCTTGGTCTCTCTTTAAATGGAAGATGCCGCGAACATCCTATTAGAAGTTTCAGGTTGCGATGCCATCATGTTTATGTGGTGTTTCACTCATAGGATATCGAACTTCATATTGGGTTGTGAAATAGTTGTGCATATTGTTATTTAATGGGTCTTCGGAATATTTATGTTTGTAAGAATAGAATAACAGATATTGCTTGATTTGAGCGACCTATTGTACACAAAGAGACACCAAGATAAGACTAGTCACAATATATCAGCACCTACAGAAGGCTCTCAGTAGTAATAGACTGATGCAACAGCTATACGAGGCAAGGACGTCATAGCCAAAATATGCATATACTCGTGGTTATCACCCAGATATGAGCCTTCCACAACCTGAGCAAATGGGTCTAGCGAGGGTGAAGTAACCAATATGCGCACAAGATGGATGGATATCACCAAAATGATGTACATTAGACAGTTTTAAAAAATTTGCTCATGATCAAACCAGATTGAGCTACCCAACAATCTAAGAAGAGAATCAACGGAAATTAAAGAAGAAATAATTAGGAAATATCTTAAATTCTATCTACTTGAAGTTTTTAAAGTCGGAAAATGAAAAGATTGTGCACATTATGGTGCATATTAAAGTACGTTTGTTCCATATAATTTTAACTGTAAGTTAAGCAGTTATGATGGGTGTGGCACCAGGCAGGGTATGCTGACTCCTCTTGACACCTGAAACGACTTTTCACTATACAATACTTACTTATCATTGATATACTTCCTCATGTGAAAAGTTCATTAGCTGCTACTAACGTTTCTACAATATGTTGTTTGGATTTCGGGTTTCGTTTTGCGGTTCAGATCGTTACTACTTGGTTTATTTGTTAACTGATATGTTCTATCTAGGAGCGGAAAAAACCTATGAATGAGGGCGGTAGGGGGTGCGTATTAATAAATTTGTGACAGGTTACTGAATCGCCCTCGTCCAATCAAGGTCAGGTAGGTAGGTAGGTAAGGTAAGAGCAATAACTCGTATTAAATACCAACTGTTACCAAACCGCCCAAGTCCCATTCCAGGTAAGGGTAATAACTCGTATCTGCCGCGATACCAAATGGATATAGATGATCATAGCTACTTTTCTGGCATAGTGGGAGTTTAAAAACAAATTGCAGAAAAAGCAACGATGTAGGAAGTAGATTGATCAGACCAGTTTAGTTAATTTAATCGGAGAATTTATTAAAGGGCCGTGCAAGAAACTTATCACTGTCTCAGGGTTGTTGGTAAAGTGGGCAGACATACGAATGGTCTTTGCTGTGTTGATATATTGTTCTTTCACACAATTGCGTGAAATGTACAAAGCAAAGAGTACTTATTTTATTGAGTTTTATAGCCCATGGTTTGTACGTTATTGGATTAATTAAATGAAATGGAGTTTTATATCCTACTTTTTGTACGTTATTGGACTAATGAAATGGAATGGCGTAATACATCCCACTGTTAGAGCTAATAAAAACGGATAAGGTCATGACATGTGCAATGATGAAAAAAAAAAATAACGATTTTTAATCTTTATTCAATAAATTTCTAGATCAATCTAGCTATCACCATTATTCTAATAATTCAAATAAAATAGAATTAAAACTTAAACAGTTTTCAAAATGTTCATGTACGAGTCTCGGCCGACGCTTTGGTCTGAGGATATACATCATTAAACCTTTCCCTTATTCCCTTATACCCTTATGAAAAGGTTAAACTAAAACTATGGAACATTCTATGTTTTATCTGAGCAATGAGTTTGTATTATACAGTTTGACTAGGAGTTTAACGTCGAGTAGGTTTAAAAAAAATGTCATGAAATTTGGTCTGATATCAATAACTTGACGACATGTTCGTAAACGCATATGGCAACACAACCCGGAGCACAAGTACAAAGAACGTCACAAACACTACAGAGCATGAGTACATATAAAGAGCATCACAAGAACATGACGCCTCAACTACAGAGCATCATAAACGTAAATGATGTGTCTCTAACACAAAGATCGTCACAAAGAGTGTAAAGGGCGTCACAAACAGGGAGCATCATAAACGTAACGAATGTTAAAAACGCAAAGGGTGTCACAAAAAATACCACAAAGGTAATGAACGTCCATCACAGAGCGTAAAGGGCGTCACGTCACATAAAACTTAAAATATGTCCGTCATTAGCGCTAAGTAATATACGTGAAAACACAAAGAACATCACTCACGTAGCACTTAAAGCTGTTTCTGTGAATTCAAAACACTGATAATTTTTTGTCTGTCTAATATGTGTTTACTATGGGTTTTGTTCATTTTAGAGTTTAAGTCACGGAGCTATTTTGAAATCTTGACCCAATTGATATCAGAATTGATAGCATTTGGGTTGTAGTTGGTAAAACCTTCGTAAAAAGTCCAAATCACGGACATATCACCACACACTTAAGCAAGTCAAGTTTCCTCACTCGGAGTGGAATCATCATCATTAAAGTTCAATTCCCAGTTATCCGCATGCGAGGTGCCAGTAAATGACGAAATGGACCCGAACTCATGCACTAGGTTTTTCAACAGCTCCGGAGTATGACCACCGAATCGGTCCTGTCCATACCCCGTCAAGGAGAAGAGTCTTTTAATACTGGGTTTGGTTTCAGCGTTAGTGAAATACACGTTCGTTCTTGATAAATGATTGAAAGAAACCTGCAAAAAACAAAACGAATTGAAATCAATTGGAGCATGACAACACTATATACCGTGCAATGTGATATATATAGGACAGAAAAATACATAAGGGAATAAACTCAAGCAATTTCGGGCAGTATCACATTAGCCGCGTTTAGACAGCCATAAATGATCTGGGTCGAGTCCGGTTCATTTGAAGCGGGCCAATTTTTATCACTGTGTAAACGCAGCTATTGAGAGGATTGTTAAAGTATATCTAGGGATTATATCGGGTGTTTTGAAAGAGTAAACACCAAATATCGTCAATGAAAGCCAGTATATCCCAATGTGGAGCAGCAAATGCAGAGTTCTCGACACATTGACTTAAATGGGGTTGTATTTTCACTATACCAATCAATCCAATGCTGATTTTAAGAAAATTAGAACCTTACCAGAACGAGTTTTTCGATATGAACTGACGAGTTCATTTGAATCTGCCAGTTGATAGGATGATAGTTGACTAGAACGAGAACTTTGGGTTTAGCAGTATCGCCATTAATTTTCACATTGGTGGCCAGGGAACGATGGTTGCCGAATATACTCAAGACGTAAACATCGGACTCTTTCTTCCTGCTGGTCTGACAGGTAAAGGTCTTCTGGGCTCGACCATGTAAAGATGCTTTAGCCACGGATGGGCTGTTCGCTATAATGTTACAGTCTTCAACATGAGCTGAAATTGAATTGGATAATCGGCGATTAAAAAGGACCTAAATTAATAGTGTGGACTCTCTGAAAGAGATGGAGATTTGACGAACGCCATTATACGTGGACTTTCTGAAAGGAATCGAATAAATATTTTTGCTTATGTTGACTTTCTGAAAGAGATGCTGAGACAAACCCAACTGCCAACTAAACATTGGTTGTAGACTCTCTGACAGGATACTGAAGTGTCAAACACAGCACAATTGGACGATTCCACGCCACAATTCCCAGAAAGATCTGCAGCAATTTAGGGCAAAGTAGTTAAAAACTGTCAAATTTTAACATAGTGCTCCAATGCATCAATGGAACACAAATCAACTTTCATACTTACGTAAGCAAGTGAGTGGATCATAGTAGCTGCCTTGACATTGGCAGAGTCCCTTCACACACTGTGACTTAAATCTGAAGGCTGCGTAGGCCCAGCATTCATTAATACATGGTGTCCTCGTGATGTAGGAAGGGTAGACTTCTGGAAAGGAGACATGGCAATGATAAATCTTTCTATGTGAAAGAGACTAACTCCTGTTTTTAATTAAACAAACGACAAGTTAATAACAACAGATCAAAGGACACACATAAAGAATTCTTCTTTGAGGTCCGAGTTAGCGACAAATGTGTCAGACAAATGATAATGCTATACAATTTCAGACAGTGTGGCTCTTTAGAGGTGAGGTGTTTCATATATCAAATAAACAAGATGGAGGTGTATAAAAATATTGTTCATCAAGAGGCGTGTTGAAGTCCACGTATAGATTAAGCAATAAACCGAACTTGATTGATTGGTTGATTAGTTTACCCTCTATCAATCACACTCCGTGAAAAATGGTACAGAGTAGGGCGTGGTACCGGAAGTGACATAAGAAGTCCTACTTACCCTGTGTTTTAGGACTGTGTTGTAAAGACGAGTGAACGGTTATATCTGTTATTAAAGTATGGTTTATCTTTGGGTTCTCTTCACTGAGGTGCTGAAATACACAAAACGAAATCAGACTTATAACAAAGGCGATAGATAAACTTTGGAGACCTTATAGTGCGTTCAGACAACAAAAGTTAAATCAGCTTAACTATCATCAGTTCTTCGAGCCTGTTCTTTTGGTCGTCTGAACGCAAACCAAAAAACAGTAAACCAGATTCGAAGAACGGTTGATAGTTAAGCTGCCTTAACTTGGGTTGTCTGAAAGCACTATAACACAAAGGAGGTTGTTTGAGTTGACGAATCCAATCGCAGAGTCTCACTTGTGACAATCACAGTTCAAATGTAATTCACAAATTTCATCTGGCGGTCAAGATATAAACAGAAATACATTAAGAAAGAAAGAAACAACAAAGGATTCTATCTACTGGCTGGTCCTTTCGTTTCGTGCTTTTTCTGAAAGTTACTACATTTGTCATCCGTGATCTGACAAAATGAAGTAGCGAGATTTTTATTGAATTGTTTAAAGATTTCTAAGGTTGAAGGTTTTTCTGAAAAAAACAGTCTTTCTATTTATCAAACTGAATTTCTCTTCTAAAAGCGAGTTTTTGCTCTGTGATTGACATTTAAGGACGGAAATTGGTTTAATTTCGCGATGTCACGATCTCGGCAAGGTTCAGTTAGTCGAAACACATTGGAGTTGAACAAAGAAATTGGTTTCGTTTATCTGATGGAATCGATAATTTTAATAAAACGCAATCTTTCTTTCAACTTCGTTGTCAAAATACTTTATAATAACAACCGTCAGCTTCTATTTGTGAAATTATTCCGGGAAGCTGAGATGAGATTGACTGTGAATTGTGTTATATTACGAGAAATCGAAGCTGCCAAATACTACATAGTGGCGTTCCTAACGGTGGAGTAAGGGGGAAGATGGGGGGTAATTTTTCGAAACGCTACTGATACGTCAATGGTGAACGGATATTGTGAAGCATTAAATTCAATCTCGAATAGTGGACTTTAGTGGATTTCTTTAGCTTATATGTTCGTTCTTAGTTACCAAACTGCACGAAAATTCGGAAAAAAAGCATATTAATTCTGTCCACTCACCTGTATTTGGGTAGGTTTAGGTGATTGGTGAAATCCTATGTATAAAGAAACACTCAGTAACACTAGTGAGATGATGAACACCAACACGGTCAATAGAATATACCGTAATCTATGGCGGTTAGTCATCTTCACCTCTGTCACGACAGCCTCTATCTGTCTAGTCGGGGCGGGGATTAGGGATCTCATATGTGACGGCAAGGGTTCAGCTGTTATGGTGTAAATATCATAATTTTCATCCTTGTCGCTCCCGCACTGAAAATAAAGATATTTAGATTAAAGATGAAGTTTGACTGTAGAATAATATTCATTAATCATGTATTTTAAGTTGGTGTATAAATCGATATTTGGAAATATTCATATCATTTTTTTAATTGCAAATGTTTGACTCTTTTCTAATATAGCCTGAAGGGACTGCAATCACGTTAGTTTTTAGCAGGTCAAAGAATGAAAATTCAAAATAGTGCACAAACAGCGTAGCTCGCTCCTGTATATACACTCAACTTTCGAAATGTACACTTATACAAGCAACATTATAAAACAGTCCATATACACATTTACGAGCGCAAACTGCAAGTCCTTATACGTCCAACTTGCAGAATTTTAGGCTCATACAGAAAACGTCATAAAATAAAAGTTCATACTCAGTCAAAGGCACTAAAAAATCATTCGTCCTTTTACGTTCGACTTTCACATCTACATTCAAGCGACAGCGTCATAAAAAGTTCATACTAAAAATCCTTCGACCTTATACGTCCGATTTTCAGATATACACACAAACAGACAGACAGCATCACAGCGTTATAAAAAGTGTTCAGAAACAGTCCATATCTGATCACTTATACATAAATACTTAAATCCTCAAAAAACAAATCGAACAAAACACCTACTCAAGTAGTATCATATGACCCTATTGTTTATAACCAACCCGAGGCAATCACTACGAGTTTGGTAATAGTTTTTGTCAGGTCTACAATAGATACAGTAAGGATGGGCCTAATTAGTATCATTGTTGTTCACAGATCCCGTGGATTGTATTTAGGGGTCAAGCTCTCCCCTAGGGTTGTATTAAGGGGTCAAGGGTTAACTGGTCAGACCCTCACTCGAAAACAGCTGATGGACAAAGGGGGTAGACCTTGACCACTTTGTGACACCCACGCCTCTTGGTACGATTTTTACGGTGAGGGTGTTTACCGCGAACGACTTGTGTCAGAACATGTAAGGGACGGGGGAAGGGGAGTTTGGGTGATATTTCCAAAATGTGTCTCCTTAGACTAAGAGGTATTCTCCTATAACCGCGACCAAGTCTCGCATACTTTGATAATTAGAACTTAAAGGGAGAGGTTTTCTAAAAAAAAACCTAAGTGTATCTGGAACATTGCTAGCGTTGATTTGCACCATTCTAATTGTCAATCAGACATCTGTGGTTTTTGCAACATAAACATTCAGAAAATCTCTTAACAATCACTTTAAATTGCCAACTAACCAACTAACCAACCATAATTTGTATAAGATAAACCCACAAAAAATAGCCCCGTTTGTGTCTATTCAAACAAAAATTCAAATTAGACCCACAAAAATGAAAAAAGGTGTTGACCTCGAACCGACGCCTAAACAAAGATACGACTAAATTACACAGATACAGATCAAAGCTAAAATATGAATGAATTCAACTTTTTATGAGAGAGGTAAAATATGTGACCTCTTTAGATTTCATAGATTTTGTGATAGTAAACAAATTGAAATAAAATGGAGTTTTGTGCCCTACTGCTCTGTATCTTATTGGACTAATGAAATGAAATGTAGTTTTATATTCTACTGTTCTGTTCCTTATTGAACTAATGAAATGAAATAGAGTTTTATATTCTACTGTTCTGTATCTTATTGGACTAATGAAATGAAATGGAGTTTTATATCCTACTGTTCTGTACCTTATTGAACTAATGAAATGAAATGGAGTTTTATATTCTACTGTTCTGTTCCTTATTGAACTAATGAAATGAAATAGAGTTTTATATTCTACTGTTCTGTATCTTATTGGACTAATGAAATGGAGTTTTATATCCTACTGTTCTGTGCCTTATTGAACTAATGCAATGAAATGGGGTTTTATATTCTACTGTTTTGTATCTTATTGGTCTAATGAAATTAAATGGAGTTTTATATCCTTCTGTTCTGTTCCTTATTAGACTAATGAAATGAAATGGAGTTTTATATCCTACTGTTCTGTTCTGTATTAGACTAATGAAATGAAACGGAGTTTTATATCCTACTGTTCGGTACCTTACTGGTCTAATGAAATGAATTTTTATATCCTGCTGTTCTGTACCTTATTGGTCTAATGAAATGAAATACAGTTTTATATCCTGCTGTTCTGTATCTTATTGGACTAATGAAATGAAATACAGTTTTATATCCTACTGTTCTGAATCTTATTGGACTAATAAAATGAAATATAGTTTTATATCCTACTGTTCTGTATCTTATTGGACTAATGAAATGAAACAGAGTTTTATATCCTACTGTTCTGTATCTTATTGGACTAATGAAATGAAATATAGTTTTATATCCTACTGTTCTGTATCTTATTGAACTAATGAAATGAAATAAAGTTTTATATCCTACTGTTCTGTATCTTATTGGACTAATGAAATGAAATAGAGTTTTATATCCTATTGTTCTGTATCTTATTGGACTAATGAAATGAAATAGAGTTTTATATCCTACTGTTCTGTATTTTATAGTGTTTGTGTGTATTTTGGTAATTCTAAAATGTAAAAGACACCCAGAGATCTTTTGAATATTATCAAATGATGGGTTAACGCCCTTTCATTGAGCTACCTGTGTCTCATAATCTCGGATGAGTAAATTCACGAATAATATTTAATAGTTTTATTCATGTGTCTTTACAGTTGACTGCCTTTTACATATTTCCTTAATGAGCATAATCTTGAACATGAAATATTAATACTATTAATAATATTAACGTTTATAGCGTTTTCTAGCGTTATATCTATGGGGAATTGAGTTTCTCCCATTGCACACTGCATGACATTGTCCATAGGCACAGTACTATGACGGGAAATTTAATTTTCTTTAAAGATGGGTTTCCTTATTTTTCTTTATTAAGCAAACTGTTTGATTTATTAGTGTTTCTTATCATGTATTCTTAATCCTATCATTATGTACTTATTGCATAAATGTCCATGTATGTACATTCTGGATAAACAAAAAAGACTTTTTGATCTCACTTGATCGCTTACTCAATGGAATTCTGCTGGTAATTCTCTTCTAATTTAGCTAATTATAAATTAATTATATGAGATAAACTGGTATATTTCCAAGTCATTACAAGACCTCCACTTTCTATTCATATAAATATTAGCATTTTCAATTTCATGAATGAAAATAAGGGAACCCATTTTTAATTTTGACAAAACAGAACGCGAATTGAAGTTACTGCTCTGAACAAAATATGCTTCACCGTGCACTTTATAGCGTTGCTGTTTTCATTACCCCGTTTTAAAAGCAGAAAAATGGGACATAAAACTTTTGAAAAAATAACAGCACACAAATTTACAAAATGACGCTGCAAAGTTTGTCTCATTGCGCACAATATTACCTTGCCATATTCATTTATACAATATCGCACAGTATGACTGTTATCCAAGCCCTTTTTAAAAATAAAAATTAAATTAAAAGTTTCTGCATTTGAAAATATTAAATAAAGCATAAGATAATTGAGCAAGTGTAAAAATTTGATGAAAAGATTCATCTGCACCTGGTTAATAGTTTGACCTAAATCTTTATCAAATTCACCATCAAAGATTATAATTTATTATCATATCGTTAAACGTGTGGGGTTGTTGTCCGAAACATCGCTCGGCAGCGATATCATACATTTGATAATTAAGAAGGGATACAGAGTTGGCATGCCTAAATAACTATGTTGACTCTCTGAAAGAGATATCGAGTTGACAAACTAACGACTAGTGACAGCAGGTGTTCTGGAAGAGTCAGATGTCGGTTTCCATATTGACAATTTATAGATTTTGTCTTTAGATTTGCGATATGTACTTGAGTTGGTCGGTACTCCTGACGAATTTCTAACACAATGCTGATTAGAGAAGATATTCTACGACATAACGATCAGGTTAATGTATTTCCAATTACTATACAAGAGACAAATTGATCGAGATTTGTCCATAGAATAAATCTTTGATTAATTAGTCTGAAGAACAACTATCATTTAATGTTACCGTTCGCTTTACAAAGGCTGTGTCACACTGGTCAAGAAATTGGCCGTGCGAGTCAGTCGCATTTAGTCTTTGATGCAGTTATGGTGACATTACCGATATCCTCGAAGCATTAATCGTTATCTGATATAGTCGTCTTTATATTTGATTTCCAAGAAAAAATATGTCAATTTCAACTGTCCCGATTGTCCGTATCTCTTTAGAGAATCAGACGTCTAGTTCGTCTGCAATGTCAGTGTGTTTTCTTAAGCTTATTACACTTGTCGACCGTGATCAGACTACATGCAGATTAAAAGTGGGAATGGAATGGAACGTTGCGGACAAGTGTAGCTTCTATTTTCTACTCATTACGATACAATAATTACACATGGAACACCTCGTTTATTCAGATCTTTATACTGAATCTCGTCGGATCGTGAAACGCTAGTGTGAAACGGCCCTTAGAGAAATATTGAACGAACTGTCTGATACATAAATCTCCCCCTTCAAACAAATTTCTCTTTTGGTCTTATAAATAATCCCGTATATTTCATCTGATAGCAATTTTCATTCTAATTTATAGACGAGATGGTGCTTAGACAATGAATATAAATATCTATATGGTCGACAGGTCGTTTCTACGACTCGCAAAGTTATATGACATTAATATTGAATTTATTCACTCGTTTCCAACTTTAATTACGGCGAGGGATTACTAGTTGGCTATCTATTTTCTCGGCAAGTTGCTTCAATCTCCAATTCCTCAAAAAACTTTCGATATCTATCTCATTAATGACAACTGACAACTTATCATTTAGTCGGCAGGCTGCATAAAACTTTATTCCCCAAAAATCTATCCTGATGGGGATTGTACATTCGAAACACATGTCAGCAGCATGATCTCTTGTGAATCAAAACCATCTTTATTATTCATTAATTTCCAATTAAAAAAATGAGCAGAACCAGACGTCAGATCATAAACTGAAAAGTGATACACAATGCTGAAATAAAGCTTTATCAAGTAGTGAAGTAAATACCCACGTCAAGCAGTGCGCAATAGGGACAAATTCCCCACAGCATTATAATCTACAGTTACCGCTATAATCTCCATCAAGGAGAAAATTCGTCGTAATGATTTCAATCAACTGCTTTAGTAAAATCATAAAACGCCTCGATCTATGTAAGTGTTTTTGTCGGTGAATTACTAAAGATTATCTTTTTACTTTGTCATTAACTTGAGTATACTTCATAATAGACAAAATTACTTAATATTAACGAACGCTTGTGGTCACAACGAATGCCTATGGTCACAACACTAACCAATTATCACGAATTTCTCGAGGGCCTGATTCACGAGGTTTCTGACAGAAATCTGTCTCTGATAAAACATGTCTTGAAGCTACCATAATGAATTCGATTTAACAGATTCCTGGAACCCTGCAGACGTGACTGGCATTCACAGGAATATATTTTCTTCCAAGCCGCTTTCTTGTGGAATATGATTTATTAGGTATTTATACGGGTTGTTAGATTGACATGTAATTTAGTTTAATTCCACTATATACTTCCAATGAAACGTTTCATCTCAGACCGAGTCGTATCAATAGAATACTTCTAACTAAACGTTAAACATAGTCGGAATCGCAACTGGTCGGTTATCTATTACGTTTAAACACGGTCGCAATCACAGGAATATTCAATTGGATAACAGTTCGTCAATCAAACGTTTAACGCAGTCGCAATCGCATCTGACCAATATATACATTCCTGTATTATATTTCCTATGAAACGCAGTTATTTAATTGTTAGCAAACCGCACGTACGATATTCTGACAGTGATACAGACGGCTGAAATAAAACATTATCAGATAGTAAAACAAATATTTAGACGACAATAACTCTTTAATAAATAGTAACAAATTGAAAATTTGCCTTCTAACATTTTCCCGATTAAATTTTAAGACGAATTAATCTTAGTGTTGTCAGACTTTCACGACAATCGTAGGCGAAACAAACTAGCTTATAATATACTTTTATAAAATAACATCGTTGCTAAAAGATTTCTCCTGGGATTTTAATGTTTGTAAACTAACTGGATTAAAATATTGCGAAATATTTCCATTTAATTTCCTTTTATCAAAAACACAATTTCTTAATGCAACTGTGCACTAAGATGGCGGCGATTAGGATATATTCATAAGGTTTTAAGTTATTGGCACTGATGCTACGACGTTATTAACTTAGTGAGGTATCTATGACGTCATTAATCCTAATATATATGATAAGTACGTCACGTACATATGCTTACCCTTCCGGCACCACCACGAGACCATTTCATAGCTGGGACCACTGGGACCAGATATCCCTTTCAGAGAATTCACAAGGATAATAATGTTATTTCGGTATTTAGGTCTGTCAATTTGGCAACAATTTCAGAGAGTTCACATAGCTAATAATATCTATTCGGTATTTAGGTCTGTCATTTTGGCAACCATTTCAGAGAGTTCACATAGCTAATAATATCTACTCGGTATTTAGGTCTGTCAATTTGGCAACCATTTCAGAGAGTTCACATAGCCAATAATATCTATTCGGTATTTAGGTCTGTCAATTTGGCAACCATTTCAGAGAGTTCACATAGCTAATAATATCTATTCGGTATTTAGGTCTGTCAATTTGGCAACCATTTCAGAGAGTCCACATAGCTAATAATGTTATTCGATATTTTAGCCCGAAAGATGGAACGAAAATCGAACGTCTAGAAAATCAGTACAATTATACTTTTTTATTTTTTAAAATTCAACCTCAGCACACAGGATAAATAAGACAATAATAGATTTTAAAACAATAGAAGAGACAAACAAACACATCAACTTCATTGAGAGAGCAAAAATAGACACATTTCTATCGTAAAACTGTCCACAACAAAGATTTTCCTTTGTTCTCTAAATTTGAAAAGTGTTTTTGTCCTTGTCAAACCAATTCCGGACTATAAAGGTTGAGAACAACATTAAAAATTGTCAAACATCGCATTAAATGACAGTTTTCATCACGGTGGTGTTTTTGATGTGACTGGCAAGGACGTTAAGAACGATAAGGATATGATTTGAAACACTCCATGACACCCGGTATGTACCCCTATTATTGGTGGGTGGGGGGTTTCAGAGAGTGGGGGGGGGGGGGGGGCGACGACTTGTGGTTCAACTCTACACCCCTCCTCTCCCCACCCCAAAAAAACCACGAAACATTATCCAAAATTTCAGACCACAACGAATGTCTGCGAAGATTGAAACCAACTGCAAAGCAAGAGACCTGTAACCTACCTCGAAGAATTGAATGATTCAATAGAATATGCTATCTTTTGATTTTAAATGAGTACCTTAACCCACTGAAAATATATGAAGCCAAATATTTAAAGCTGTATCTTTATCAGATTAAATGAAGTAACACACAGAAAATAAACGAAACAAAATAACAAGAGCTGTATAGCAACCACGAGTTACATCAAACTCTTTTCTATAGAAAGAGACACAACGTAACAAAAACCGAAATGTTTATTTTCGACTAATTGAATTTTGACCGACGTAAAAAGAATCAATTTTGTGGACGGAAAAAGGAATTGACGACTTTGTTGTTTAAACAATTTGCATATTGACTTTGGTTTAAAATGGCTCGAGAAGTATCTTATAAAACCTGGTGAATTCAAACTTAGAAGGTTTGAAAATATCTCGTTGATGAAGCCAAGACGTTTGAGAATGTGGTAGAAGGCTTTAACACTTAAAATAGTGGAGTCAGTCTTTATTTACATTGTCCACAAGACAATAATAAAACTAATGCTGTATCTTAGAGGTTTTGTTTGTTTAGACAATTTGAACGATTTAGAAGATTCGTCTATCGCCATCCCCACACGTTGTGTATTTTTTAAAACTAGTATTACTTTGACTCACTTGTTCTATCTATTTTCAATTTCTTTTTTTTTCTTTTTTTGGCTGAAATATCTTGACTCTAAAGGGACAGGTGTGCCATTATGAAGGATTAATTTGGGTCTTTAATATATGTAAATAGTCTTCAGAAGTACTGGGAACGTACGAAAATCACAGAATTCCTTTAAAAATACTTCAAACAATGAATTTTACTCACTGTTTCTATATATCACAGAGTATATTAAATTGACGAGTCGTCATTTTAACATTAAAATGCAGATAATTTTGGACACACACATGGATTTGAAGGCTCAAATTTCGACTGTGAACTGTGAACACTATTACTGATTGGCTCAGCTACAAAATTCCAGTTTCTGAGACTAAAGTATGATTGGTCAAAAAAATGGCCCACCAGTCCCTTTAAGTAACAGTGTTTTGCCATATATCCCTCATGAACTCATATTTTGTTTGTTTATCGGTCTTGAGGTTTTGGGGGTCTTTTTAAAGGTGAGGGGTTGTAGTTGCGTTTCTACAGTGGGGGGGGGGGCGGCAGAATATAGGCTGGTCCAGCTTTGGCCCCCAGTTTCAAACTCCTTATCATTGGATGTAGTGGAAAATTGCCCCCCTCCTCCCTTGGCAACTCTGTGACCCTTACTCAGCTCTCTCACCGAATGATTCTTAGAAATCACTCAGGGGTTGGTTTAGGTAAGGGGGTTCATATACGCCAGAGGTCGATTGCCTTATACACAATTTAAACGACTATATATGGCTTCATTATGTTATAGCCCCAGGCAATTCAGTTTTCAGTCATCAATCATTCTTTTATTATATTCTACATTGAATTTTAACATCAAACTATGGCGATATGTTCACTTTTATAACTTTATATAGCACGTATTTACCTTCTGTTTTCATGTGTCCCCCATTTTCACAATGTCAAGCTATTACGAACTTCGTCTTATAATACCTTGACCATTCTGTTTCCAGTTTTTTTTCCTGACAGAGATAGATGTCCGAGGGACTAACAACGGACAAGTTTCTTGTCGTTCGGATAGGAAAATAAACCGAGGTCTAGTTAGCTGTCCTGATGAAGACTGTGTATCTGAAACATTTGTCAGTAGCATGAGATGAGATCCAGTCAATTAACTATTAAGTCCTATATTGGAAAGTTAATCTCAATTCCAATCCTGATGAGGATTGTATATCTGAAACATTGGTCAACATGAGATGAACTCTCAAATTCTAATCTTCTTCCCGTGGTGTCTTACCATCCTACCCGCATTACTTTTCAGAAACAAACAGCGTGCATTTGGTTCGTTTTACAATAATATAACTATCTTACCTTCAATGGCTTGTATCCATTTTCTCTTATACATATCATTTTGACAGCATTAACTCTGGATATCTCAGTCGGTGCCGTAGGTTCGAATCCTCATCAATATAAGATGCAACGACTTAATGCTTCTCAATGTCTACTGTCTAATCCAATTTCAATCCTTATCGCCAATATTCCTTATGAAGTGTGCTATCCCAAAATCTCCTAAGTTTCGGCGTATCTCGACAAAATTCCTTTAAGTTAAAAAAAACACCAATAACGTTACGTCCATAAAATGTCCACGTTTCTCAAATTTTATGCAAGATTTGAAAGAAACCACGAATCCGAAGACAGCATAAAACCATAAAACCACAAAAATCACTTTAAAAAGTCTGTCCCGAACAATTCAATCACATTTAGTCTTCAGACACATACGAGAACAAATGTTTTTACAATTTTCCATTACACGAAACTTTCACCATTAAGTGGAATAAATCTGCAATTCCAAAGATGGTTATCGGAAATTGAATTCTATTTCATGAGTTTTTTCTGTGATTAAAACTTCACGATTCTTATTAGATTTCAAACATCAACTCGCCGTGTTCTAACGATTCGATAGCCAACGGTTACAAATTTTCTGTTAGAAGAACGATCAGTTAACGGCTATATTGTCAGTGGTTGCTTTAAATAAGAATTACTCGTAGCAAATCGATGAGCAACAATGGTTTTATCCCGATCACATCTAAAATGATGCCGACCAATTGTTGTTTGTCGTAATTGTAATAACTACTACCATTAACAGGTCGTGTTGGTGATATAACTGGTTGTTATTACAATAAGTTAAAACATTTATCATGTCAATTCCACACATGAATTACAGTCCATCTACAATTAAAGTAGCCTTGTCGTGAACATAAACGTTTGAATTGTCGATAGTCAAGGACACCTTGAAGCGGAAATCATCAACACCATGAAATAGAGCAATACCGCATTCGAGTCAGCAGCTGCCTTTTCAGTGTCAATATTGAGAGCTATGAGCACCTAGCTCAAAGATCAATCAAAGCCCAGATCAACCAAAGTATAACAAATGCACAACCAGAGTTAATGCTGGATGGTAATCAAAGATGTTAAAGAAATCAATGTCCAGTGATCACAGAATGAAACATTGATTAATTGAATTCACAGAATAAAAGACACTCACTTTAAGAACACAATGAATATTGTTTCATAGAGCGCTGATTTCAAGTTGCCAATCGGTAATTCAATCAAACACGTATCATATTTTCAATATCCATTTAATTTCTAATGATTTTCTGTCTGCTCTACTCCTAACGTGTTAATCAAGCCATAAACAACAAAAAACAGACATAAGGGAATATATTATTATAGTATAATTAACACACTCTTTAATAACCAAGTACATAAGCTATGTTATATTCTAGCTTCTAGCACATTTTGCATTTATGTAGACTACAGTACCACATCACAAAAGTCTATACAAGTTTATAAATCCTGCATATGTTACATATACGTTAGGTAATTTTCTTATAGCTTCTTGTACATTTAGCATTCAACAAACCACATCGCAAAAGACTACACAAAAACTATAAATACCCTGCGTACTCTCTCCTCGCATATCGTACACCATGTCTGTTCACCTTCAAATCACAACAGGTTATGTGAGCAGATTTTAAAATCAGCGACTTCTGCTAACATCTGCCAAACGTCAACAAACATCGTAACGTCATATGGCAGACGACACAACATTCCCGCGCTCTCTACACCAAGTCAGCTGGCACGCGTAAGGTTAAGTTAGTTTTTCCACTCGAATGAGTTTGTAATAAATGTGTACCCACAAAAATAGTATACAACGAAATAGCACAACATTAAAGGCATAGAATGCTTTGATGAAATTTATCATCTTTTATTTAGACTTTATACTTTATGAAACCATTGGACAATTTCAAATTTTTGCTTTTCTGAACTCTAATATCACTCTACTGTTGTATGAAATCTAAGTTCACTTATAATGGCCTGTATAGTTTATCAGATTTAACGAAATGAAAGGTGAATGAAAATGAAATGAATGGAGTTTAACGTCTTACTTTAGACCTAGTGGTCTAATGAAGACGGGTGACGCCATGCAGGGTGCCGAAATACCCAAAAATATAATAATACTCCTAAAGCGTTAATGAGATTATGTTCTGCCAATTTCTTTTTACAGAAACCAAACTATACCTTTAATGCATAGGAGAAGATCAATCAAGTGTACAGTAAAAGAAAGATGTTCTTTATATTAAAGAAGATGTTATGATTTGATTTATTAAGAGATTTTAAAAGAGTAAAATGAAGACGCTATCTTGTGTTCGCTATTGTTGTTTAGTTTAAACTAGAGTGAGATTTTTCGATTTTTCTTTGATGTGAGCTACATTTACGATTTTACATTGCAGTGCCTGAAGACATATGGGCTTCTTTTAGTTATTGAAACATATGTTTCATCCGTGTTGTAAGCCATACAGAAATAAAAGAATTAGAATGTCTTCCTTTTTTGATTTACCCAAATTTTCCCAAGAAGTACCTGTATCATTAGGGGTTCATAATGAGTAAACTTGCTACCTTACGCCCCCCTCCCCCCCTTTTTCCATCGCGCATATTTCTTAAGTTTACCCATAATACATCATTCATTGAAAATATCTCGAACCGTAAAATCAATATCATCATATTAGAATAACATAACAATACTAGAATAACACAACAATACTAGAATAACATCACAATACTAGAATAACACAACAATACTAGAATAACATAACAATACTAGAATAACACAACAATACTAGAATAACATAACAATACTAGAATAACATAACAATACTAGAATAACACAACAATACTAGAATAACACAACAATACTAGAATAACATAACAATACTAGAATAACATAACAATACTAGAATAACACAACAATACTAGAATAACATAACAATACTAGAATAACACAACAATACTAGAATAACATAACAATACTAGAATAACACAACAATACTAGAATAACACAACAATACTAGAATAACATAACAATACTAGAATAACACAACAATACTAGAATAACATAACAATACTAGAATAACATCAATAACAAGAAACCACAAAACACTGACTAAAATGCACGAATAACAATAATTTGATAACATCAGGAATGTTCCGTTCCCCTGAACTTGAATTTAATCAAATATGTTTTCATGAGTTACGTCCCTTGAACTTTTAAAATTCATCAATTTTTGGTTTGTATGTTTTTGATTGTCATGTTTGTTAAGCAGCTATGGCGGATGTGGTGCCATCCAGCATGTGCTTACTATTCTAGACACCTGGTACCACGTTTCATCATGATATAAGCCAACTTACTCACGATTGATATACTTCCTTATGTGAAAAGTTCATTAGCTGCTACCAATGTTTTGCCAAAATGTTGTATTGGTTTTCAGGTTTCGTTTTGTGGTTCGGGTCGTTAATACTTAGTTTATTTAGTAGATAATTAAACGGTCGTCTTAACAGTTAACAGGAATCGTTTAAAACCTACACATCATTGGAAACAAATAACAGATTGGTAGAAAAGCGACATCAAAGAGCAGGAAGCGTCGCAGGTAGCAAAAGCATGACCTATTCTACTAGTTGTCATCAGAAAATTATATCTATATCCAAGTGTATGTCCAGTCTGTCGGTAAACCAGCAGCTCTGTTACTGGACACAACATTCAGGGTCTTCACTTGAGCTGCCTGGAATAAAATTATGAAGCATGCAAGTTGAAATGTGTTAACGTCAATACTTCCCTCTACAGCCTACCGCAGACGAGAGGAACTAGCTGATCTACCTGTCTCAAGAGGTCGGGAGCTGAGCAACGTTTTCACTACTTCTTTCACTACAGACGAGAGCTCTGGCCTGAGCTAAGAAATCTTCGATCAATTCCGTCAGTCAACGAAAACAACCGAAGTGTCAGGGACTGATAAAAATGACGGACAACGAAAATTGGCTTAGAAGGCCGAACACGGTGAGTTGCTAGCCTCTTTTAAAGTAAATATTTAGACGACTTTATACCTTCAAGTCATATTACTCTTCCATATTGGGATGAACATTTACACAAGCAAGACAATTCCGTCAAACATCTCGTGTAAAGTGAAGGTTTTATAGTAGAGGACTCCTCCATGAGAAGTACCATCAGGTATTGCGAAAAGGATAAGCATGGTCTGCTTAGCGCGCGACAATTGCCACCACCACAATGATGTAGGTAAAATCATGAGATACAACCAGATCAATTCATGCCTGACCAAACAAACCGGCCAAAATATCAGAAACAGATTTATTGTATTTATCAAGGAGTTCTGCATACCTTATACCTTCACGCTGGGCTTATATGTTATCACTATTCCAATCGGGAAGAAATCAAACTTGTACAGATTCTAAACAACCCTTTTTAGCAGCTAACCATAATGGTGTTTGACCTTGAATGTTTTTACTGTTGATATCAGCATTTCCCTACAATTTAGAAATAAAGGAACTAATATTTTGATAAATATGGCTTCTACAATTCAATGAAACTGATTTGAAGCAATTGAAGATGTTTATTTTTCAGAATGAATGCCTGACGTGAGGTTCGTCTATACTTTAAGTATACATAACAAGATTGATTTAACATATTATGACTAAGACTAATATACTAATCTGTTGAATACAAACCTTTTCAATCAGAAGTTTAGCATAATCTGTATTGTTCTTCTCTATAGCAATATGTAATAGTGTATTTCCATTCCAGTTCTTAACGTTCACCACTGACTTATCAGCTACACCTAATATTTTATCCACAGCACTTCAATAGAGAACAGAAAGAACAATACAAAAAACGTGGAGGTGGCAAAATGATATTTAACAACAATGGCCACTGATATACTTACAATGAGTGGCCTTTAAAAACTGCTAATTGTAAGGCGTTGAAACCTTCTCTATTGACAAGTCCAGGATTGATATTGGGGTCTTTACATAGCACAGAACATACCTGTAAATTGACAGCACAACCCTTGTTGATTATCATCTCCATCAAACTACTATCATCAGCACGAGCTGCAGAGTGTAGAGCAGTTTTACCATCAACACCGGCAATATTTATATAAGCACCTCTTTCAATCAACAACTTTCCAACAGCTAGCCTTTCTCTACAAGAGAAGGGAAACTTGACAGGTGTATAATGTGTCGAATGGTTTTGTGATTCTGAGTGATGCATGCTGATTTTATCTTACAGAAAGATAGCTTGCGATGCAAGGTAACATACGCCCACTGGCAGCTGTCATAAATAATAAAACAGTCTTTAGTGACTAAAGTACAAATTTTCTCATATTGAAGAAATTATTTATGCTGAATAATTCCACAAAATTTTTTAAAATCAATATCAATAACCCAAATACAACAAACAATTAAATCACACAAGTCAAAGCAATAACTCAAAAAATGTTCATCAAAAATATCTCTTGTTAGAATTTGTCCAAGATCTTATCAATTCCAATGATTACACCAAGTTTCATCAGAATCGGTTGAAAACTGTAGCGTCAATCCTGCTCACAAACTATTTTTAACAAATTTCAACACGTTTTAACAAAGTCAAGGGCAATAACTCAAAAACCGTTCATCAAAAATGCGTCAAGTTAGAACTTGTCCCAGATCTTATGAATTCCAATGATCACACCAAGTTTCATCAGAATCGGTTGAAAACTGTAGCTTGAATCCTGCTCACGAACTATTTTTAACAAATTTCGACGCGTTTTAACAAAGTCAAGGGTAATAACTCAAAAACCGTTCATCAAAAATGCGTCAAGTTAAAACTTGTCCCAGATCATATGAATTCCAATGATCACACCAAGTTTCATCAGAATCGGATGAAAACTGTAGCTTTAATCCTGCTCACGAACAATTTTTAACAAATTTCAAGGCGTTCTAAGTCAAGGGCAATATCTCAAAAACCGTTCATCGAAAATATGTCAAATTCGACGTTGACCGAGATCTTGTCAATCTAAAGCATCACACCAAGTTTTATCAAAATCAGATGAAAACTGTAGTCTCTATAGTGCTCACAAGAAATGTTGACGGAAGGACCGACGGACGGACCGACGGACGGACAGGGGTGCCGACAATATACGTCCACATAGAGAGATTGGGGTGGCCCTGTTAATCACAGTTCCGCAGCCGCCAATGAACCACACGTTCGGGTTACATTCGGAGTAATTGCTATATTCAATGCCCAAAATTGTGAAGGAGCACCACCTGTACCATACTTACCACAATCTGGAAAATGGTCTGGGTAGTAAGGTAGTCCATTAGATGCTACCTTGAACATCAAATCTACCTTGCCACTAATACCACCTAGTCGATAAAAACATGTTTGATCTGTTTGATCAGTGACACTCCATTTAACGCACACCATGTTTCTAACTGTAAGAGACTCTTCATCATTGTTGATGGATAGCACTTTACCAGTTGCACCGTTTCCCCCTATAAAATGGAAAGGAATATCAACACAATGAACAATATTTTTTTTTATATCAAATACTTTTTTTTATTGAAAATTGTAAAGTATATCAGGTGATGTTTTAGAATGAACAACATGTAAATCCAATGTCAAAATTTACAGTAAAAATAAAAGTTCAATGGTTAAAATATCATCTGCAAAACGCAACATCGGGTTCATAAAAATATCCATGTAAAGCAAGTTTTTAATTGATCTATTAAGGAAGGTAACTTATACTAAAGTGATGAACGTATTTAAATTCGTTCTGATATTTACCGTTCAGGTCGTTTTGCATCCAGTCTCGCCCCCTATTAACTGTGGCACCAGGAAATATCCCCATGGTAGGACACGAAATACTGCCACATCGTTCTGGTATATTTACTCTGTAATAAATATATCAAAATAATCTTTTCACCTAATATGTGCACTCTCTAAAATGGGTGTCGAGTTGTAAGGCATACAGACTCGTTAGAAAGAAGCAAAACATGTAGCAAATAAGCAAATAGTCAATTTCGGGTTTGACTAAAGGTTGGTCTCGAAGTGGGTACCAATACGTACCATTGTGACTGTGGTGTATCAATACGTACCCTAGTGACTGTTATGTATCAATACCTACCCTAGTGACTGTTGTGAATCTATACCTACCCTAGTGACTGTGGTGTATTAATACGTACCCTAGTGACTGTGGTGTATCTATACCTACCCTAGTGACTGTGGTGAATCAATACCTACCCTAGTGACTGTGGTGAATCAATACCTACCCTAATGACTGTGGTGTATCAATACGTACCATTGTTACTGTGGTGTGTCAATACGTACCCTAGTGACTGTGGTGTATCAATACATACCCTAGTGACTGTGGTGTATCAATACCTACCCTACTGACTGTGGTGTATCAATACCTACCCTCCTGACTGTGGTGTATCAATACATAACCCTAGTAACTGTGGTGTATCAATACATACCCTTGTAACTGTGGTGTATCATATCTAATGAAAGGATGGTTGATGTTATGTTCATTTGTGACGTAACAGACCGGACATAAACTAACATCATTACACAGTTGACATTGCCATCTCATACCAAATATAACTTTTTGTCTACACGTCGAGCATGTATAGCGAATGTGATTAATACCTGCAGATAAAATAGCAAACAGGGTGATTTCGTCACTTCCGCTTTATAGATGGATTACAGAGAACAAGACAAAATCAAATCTGTTTGTCGTTTAAATGATATCCTCTGCAATGCATATTTTTCTGAATTAAGTAAACTTACCCACTGGTCCGCTATCGTAAATCTTCAAATCATGTGGACCATTTTCCAAAATTCTACAGTTACATTGCTGACCATTATCCCATACAACCTGGGCAGTCTTGTTAGGGCAAATATTAACTAAAGTACCAAGATATCCATTACCACCATCTATATCTCCATGGTCCCAGTCTGGTCCTCGTACTACTCGTAAACCCACCAGATTCATATTAGAACCGGTTCCTGTAATATCTCTATCTCAATAAGTCAAGATGTATCATCAGACCAACCGCTTATAATAACTCCTTTTACATTCAAACATTATCCTTTCTCAAAACAAACTCTATAAATAAATTGATGTACCGCTGTTATTTATCATAATGTAAATGGGAACATTATATCGCAGCCTAGTCCGGGCTACAGTTAATTGTGTAAGAGTTGTGGAAGAATCAATGGTGGTTTTTCTTAAATTATCTTTTTCTGATAACTCCCAAAAATACAGAAAACACAAACTTCAAATTAACATAGAGACTCTATCAAATGCATTGTTGAAATCATCATACGCGATGAGCTCATATAAAATACCCCTGGCTCCGCAGATTTCTTGAAAGAAAGTTCAGCTTAAAATCGGGCTAAATTTTAAAACAATATATCAATACCAAACTGAATTAATGAGATAAAGGTAGAGATTTCTGAACTGGGCTTTAATTTGCACAGCCTGCAGCGCACACAAATCACACGTTTTAATCGCATCCAATCTTGACAGAAGCGGAATAGAAGCAGCTGATGCAGGCCTAGGAAATATTATCAACCCGAAATAAAAAAAATCGCAAATTTCAAAATCAGAAATAGATTTTGATGTGAAAATCATACTTGGAAAATGAAAACATGACACAATTTCTTAAACACACAAGGATTCTGTGTCGTTTGTTATTAAAGGGAGCTAAGAATTAATCGTGCATACATCACGATACTTTTATCCAACACAATGCATCGATAAGAAAGAAACCATCGGGGTTCATAGGTGAATCGTTGCAGCCCTATCGGCAATGTATTTGAATTCGATATCATTTGATAAGTATTTTGATTTTGAAGCAAAGTGTCTAACGTATCAAAAACGTTGCTATATAAATGTGTTGGAAGGATCTAATAAAGTTTGCTTTAACTAAAGTAACTTACCTGTAATGGTTCGTTGACTTGTAAGCACCACCAACAAAACAGAAATGTCGAAGCTGGTATAAACTTGTTGAAGAAATGACGAATAAAATTCTTTTGTTCATTTATTCTTTTGTGTACTAAAATATTTCAGTATGCAAGTTCGAAGTTTAATTCGGCTTTGTGGGCTCAAGTATAATTCGGCAGTGGATATTCACCACGTATATACGGACAGGTTCCCCATGTGGGGAGTTGTTTGGGCCTTGAATGTACGAATATAGTCTTCAGAAATACTAGAAATGTACAAAAATTGCATAATTCATTTAAAAATACATCAAACTATGAATTTCACTTTCTATTTCTATTGATGTCTTTTCTATATATGGCAGTGTCTCAAGAAATGACGACTCATCTTTGAATTTTCAAATGGGCATAAATCTGGACACACATGGATTTGAAGTCTCAAATTTTGACTATGAGCTATGAACACTATTACTGATTAGCTTAGCTAAAAAAAACTCTAAAGTATAATTGTTAAAAAAATTGGCACATATGCAAGCAATATTATGACTTCCTAATAGCAAATAACCTGACACAATTATATGGATAACAATTACTTTAATAAAATATCTTGCGACGTTTCAACGAAAGTTCTCCCGTCTTTACCAAAGAATGTTCTTGAAGAGACAGATTCGACTTTTTCTGGGATCAATCGTACCTTAATCTCAGAAACGGGAATTGTACAGCCTAGCCAATCTGTTATAGTATTCACAGCTTGCCGCCGATATTTCAGTTTTCTTAGCCATGTTTATCCATAGTTATTCTTGTTTGAAAAGTTTTGTAAAGCGAGCGTAATTCCCGAGATTTTAATGACTGAGTGTCAGAGACTATACCAACATGACATCCAACTTTCGGATACCCCAATTCTAGAGAGAAGATAAGTTTGTGAACGAAATAAATATATTAAGTGGAATTTGAAGGAATTGTGCGATTTTCGTTTAGTTCTAGTACTTCCGAAGATCACTTACTTATATGCAAGACTTAAATCAACCCCTGGAAAAGAATCTGTCCTTTTAATTTGGATTGTTTCAAAATGACTGTCAAATGGGTCTATGTAATATACAACATTCAGAATGAGTGCAACAATACTTAATCATGTACAAAATACTTTTTGATCTGCATTATTTTATTATTTTTGCATTTTTTCAAAGTAAAGAGATTCCGGTGATGTGTTGATTATGGACCATCGAAAAGGAAGACAGTGAGGCTTACTTTCCTAGAATTGAACACTTGAGCCTTCAAATACTTGTGTATCCATAATTATCAGTTAAAAATTAAAATGACGAGTCACCTTTTCAGGAAAAACATAAATAAATTTAGAAGTTTGCAGTTAGATATGCTCCTTGGCTCATACCTTGTTGAGCACTCTATTTGGAGTGTAACATTGTCTCTAGCGTGTATGCGTAGCTCACTAGCTTGCAAAATCTGAAAATCTGAGACGGCTATATAGCCAAACTTCAACTCCAGTATCAGCACCGCACTGATGAAGCCCAGAAGGCCGAAACAGTACTGTTTGCAGTTAAATTTAGAAGTAGATATTTCTAGTATGATATACAGATATTTGTGAAGAAATTATGCGATTTTCGTACATTTCTAGTACTTGTGAAGACTATTTACCCAAATCAAACTTAAAAAATGGCGAACCTGCCCTTTAACATAAACATGTATTGATACATCAGTTCTGAGTATATTTCACACGCATCGACATACATACGCTACCAAGAAAAACATAGAAATATATGTTAGAAAATCTTGGTAGATATACAAATTGAAAGAAATGATACCCGATCCTGGAGCATCTAACATGTGATAAGTCGAATATAACCTACTTAATTTCATGTAATATATCAAACTATTACTAACCCCGTCTTATACCTTGCCTGCAATATCTATCTTTCTTGTATCACGGAATGCAATGATTTGATTGGATTGTATGCCGGCGAATACAACCAATCAGAGAAAGTCTGTCATGACTTATTGTTTACAGACTTTTTGTCGATACAAAATGTCACCGGGTTTCGTCAAAATCCGTCAAAAGGTGAACCTTCTGGTGTGTATACGAGCAATTGTGGACGGACCGACGGACCGACGGACGTGGCCCATTGTCTATTTAGAACTTATAACCCATGCAATTCAATTTATATGATTTAATAACATCTATATATACATCAAGGAAACACATTTAATAATAATGAGTAACAACCATTGCATAAATAAACCAAGTACTAACGATCCGAATCGCAAACAAAACCCGTAATCCGTAACAACATATTGACGAATTATTGGTAGCAGTCAATGGACTTTTCACATGAGCAAGTATATCAATCATAAATGGGTAAGTATTTCATAATGAATAGTGTTATCAGGTGTCTAGAAGTGTAAGTATAACCTGCCTGGCGTAACACCATTCAAAGCTGCACAACATACATATATATTTTGATAACCTGGGGCTTGTTTCTCAAAGGATTCCTTAATTTTAGGACAGGTTAGCGACAGGTTAAGAAGACAATCCTTAGGTAAAGACTGCTTAAAGACTGTTTCGAGAAACAAGCCCCAGGTCCGTAGGCAGTCAATTACTTCTGGGGGTGGTGGGGGAGGGGGACTCAAATTCCTGACATCTCCCACGAATTTAAGTTCCAAGATTATTTTTATAGGGTCTAGGATATGTCGCTTAGAAATTTTGAGAATTAGACGCCCGGAAATGAGATTTCTTGACATTTCCCGACGCATTTAATGCTCAGTATTATTTGTCTTATAACAAAGACTCCCCTTGACTCAGTAAAGTGAATTAGTGTATTCAAAAATAACAATTGACATTATTTTAGGGGTGGGGGGGGGGGGGGGGCTATGTATTCTGTAGTCACGTTTAAAGAATACTGTAGATCTCGTTGAGATGGATGGGTTATAGGTAACAAACGTTTGGACTATTCGACTGGTATTGTCACCAGCAAATTATTAATTCCAGTAGTAGTAGATCTATTACTGGACACAACATTCAGCATTTTCTCTTGTACCACCTGGAATAAAGATAAACAAAATTAAAATAATGTCACCATTATGATTATCTGTAAGACTGTTTATAACGTCAACGTCCTGGAAGTTACGTATTGCTTAGTCCAATTTCTAAATGAAATGTCTGTACATTTTGGAGATATAAAACCATCCATTTATCACACAATAGTTCTGTGCTCTGATACATAAGACAGGTTAATAAAAAATGATATGAACTCGTAGCACAGGTTAATAATAATGATATGAACTCGTAGCACAGGTTAATAATAATGATATGAACTCGTAGCACAGGTTAATAATAATGATATGAACTCGTAGCATAGGTTAATAATAATGATATGAACTCATAGCACAGGTTAATAATAATGATATGAACTCGTAGCACAGGTTAATAATAATGATATGAACTCATAGCACAGGTTAATAATAATGATATGAACTCGTAGCACAGGTTAATAATAATGATATGAACTCATAGCATAGGTTAATAATAATGATATATAACTCATAGTATAGGTTAATAATAATGATATGAACTCGTAGCACAGGTTAATAATAATGATATGAACTCATAGCACAGGTTAATAATAATGATATGAACTCGTAGCACAGGTTAATAATAATGATATGAACTCATAGCACAGGTTCAAATAATGATATGAACTCGTAGCACAGGTTAATAATAATGATATGAACTCGTAGCACAGGTTAATAATAATGATATGAACTCGTAGCACAGGTTAATAATAATGATATGAACTCATAGCACAGGTTAATAATAATGATATGAACTCATAGCACAGGTTAATAATAATGATATGAACTCATAGCACAGGTTAATAATATATGATATGAACTCATAGCACAGGTTAATAATAATGATATGAACTCATAGCACAGGTTAATAATAATGATATGAACTCATAGCGCAGGTTGATAATAATGCAAATTAAGTCATGTATTCAAATACCATGTAAACAAAGTTGATGGCTTAGTAAGAATTGAAGGTAATCGACATATACCAAATAACATAATTTTAATCAAACTTTCAATTTAGTAATCACATGATTCTTTTTTACGCTCAAGAACATTTTGTAGAAAGATGTAAAATGGCTGACGTCAAAATGAAGACCCTATGTAGAATAAGTGCAAGGAATTGAAAGAAAATATTGACAGTTATGTGATACATAATAGTATTATTGTTAAAGAAAACTTACAAACAGGGCATCTATTACCCTGGAGTACACAATCTTGACAAACACACTTGTGACCACACGGTTTAAGGGTGATAGTGGCTGGACTCGTCATACATCGTCTACATGGTAACCCTACCAAATCAGCAAGAGAATGCTTTGCTCCACTGTCGAAAGAGGCCGTTGACCATTCACCTTGTCTGAAAAAATGATTTGGGTTCCCTTATTTTCATTTATAAAAATGAAATGCTAATATTTATGTGAATAGAAAATAGAGGTGATCTAATGAGATGGAAAAATACCAGTTTGTCTCACATGTCCATAATTAATTCATAATTAGCTAAATTAGAAGAGAATTATAAGCAGAATTCCAATGAGTGACCGATCAAGAAAGGTCAAAAAGTCTTTTTTTGTTAATCCAGACTGTAGATACATGGGAATTTATGATTAGTTAAAAATTGATATGCAATAAGAACATACTGATACGATTAAGAATACATGATAATTCATTGGAAACACCAATTAATCAAATAGTTTGCTAAATGTGACACAAAAATAAGGAAACCCATCTTTAAAAGAGGGTTTACATAGCTAGTAAAATGTACTTGGTATCTAGGTTTGTCAACTCGACATCACTTTTGGAGAGTCTGCGTTTAAAATAAAGACAATTTTTAAAATGTTTTATTAGATTAGTATGTTTTACACGCCTAAAACCCTAGAACCCAAAAACAAAACGTCTTTCCAATTAACCTGCTTTGTAAATCAATTGTTGGTATTTTTTGGCGTTTGTAGGCAGTTATACAAGGTTTTGTTTTTATTTAAGTTTTGGTATTGTCTCCAATCGAGAAATATTTATCTTTGCCTTACTTTTGTATTATAAACTCTGATAAACTCTGTTTCATGTTTTCATCTATACAACACTCTAAAGGCGTATCTCCGTACATATTTTTCAAATCTGTCCTGGCGCCATTTTTTATCAAGCATCTTGCTACTATACTTCTGTCCTCTATACCAGAGATTAGTGATATACCCATCAGAGCTTCCAACTGAAACATTCAACATGAAATAGCATTCTTATTTCACATTATCCTGTTGCTAATTACTCCTGGTGTCTCAGGTCGAAACGTTACAGACTCGTTCAGAACACAATAAATTTAAAAAAAATATATATTGGTGAATCATCAATTCAACATTGTTCACAGGTAAAAGTTAATGAACACTTACCTCTTGATCAGTGTTGTCATGAAGACATGCTCCAAAACAACAGGCGTGTAGAGGACAACATTTCTGTTTGTCAACGATATTAACATCGGCGTCTGTAAATGATAAAAAATGATTATAATACCGCAGCATGGTACCACATTACGTAAGGTTCTTACATAGAAATAACACACACGAACGTACTTTACAACTATTTTGAATCTATTCTTCGATTTAATTAGTCGAATTTCTGAAACAGCTATAAAATACAACAATGCCTTCGATTTCTAGGGGGGGAGGAGGTGGGGTGCACTGGCCATTCTTTCACTATGTAAAATGAATAATACGAATAATATGACGTCTTGAACATGTTTATTGCTTCGAAACTTTGATTGTGATAACGTCCACATGTATAGTTTTATTTAAATGTTTTTAAAACAGTCGAGATTTAGTTTCTCTAAAAAAAAATCTAGACGACTCGATTAAGGGTCACTAGTCCTGTTTTACAAAACCTGAAGTAAGATTTAATCACATACTTTAATACAAACCTTTTCAATCAGAAGTTTAGCGCAGTCTGTATTATTGTTGTATGCTGCAATATGTAATGGTATATATCCATCCCGGTCCGTAACGTTTACTAGCGATTTATGTCGATTTAATATTTCATCCACAACACTTTAAAACAGAAAAAAAAAAAAAACAAAATTAAAAAAATCCAACAAAGATAGCTTGCCAGGCAAGGTAACATACGCCCACTGGCAGCTGGCAGAAATGATGATACAGTCTTCAGTGACTAAAGTAAAAAATTTCACATTTTTAAGATCTTCATCATGCATTTGTAGTTTGAATTTATTCATTGTGTTTCATATTGTGTTTCTGGTGACCTCAATAATCAGGGTCTCTCACTCAACCAATCAAAATGCCCTTAAAAAAAACTTACGATGCTTGGCCTGTTGAAGCTGCTAACTGTAAGGCGTTGAAACAATCTTTATTGACTAGTCCAGGGTTGATATTGGGGGCTCCACATAGAACAGCTACCGAGTCTTTACGTCCTGCTTCTATAGCATAATGGAGAGCAGTGTCCCCACCAGGATCCTACAAAATACAAAAGAGCATGAAAAGAAATTTGAAACTGATCTAGCTTTTGAACAATTTGACTTTTGATGTCGCTTTGATGAAGAAAATGATGGGGTGTTTGATTGAGTGGACGACTGGATTGATTTAGGTACTGGTTTGAAAGAGATACCTGTAAATTGACATCACACCCCTTTTTTATTATTATCTCCACCAATCTACTATAATTAGAACGAGCTGCAGAGTGTAGAGCAGTTCTGCCATGATCACCAACAATATTAACATCAGCACCTCTTTCAATCAACAACTTTCCAATTTCTGGCTTTTTGCTGCAAAAGAAAGCTATAACTCAAACATTGTTTTGTCCACAGAGTGACCAGTGTGTTCTATAGTTTTCCGATACCAGTTGCAATCAAACAGTTGCCATCAAACAGTTGCTGCTGATGATGATTAAACGCATACAAGATGTTTGAGGTGATTGGTGATGCTGCTGACGATGACGTTGATGATGATGATGATGATGATGTTGATAATGATATTTGGGGTGATTGATGCTGCTGACAACGTCGATGACGATGATGATGACGACGATGAAGATGATGAAAACGATGACGACAAAGATGACGACAAAGATAACGACGATGACGATGCTACCAGAAATTTTTATTTTCCAATTTGTTTTATTGGTTCACAGGAACTCGTGATAGTTCCTCGTGTTTTCTTTTTAATTGTTGTTGATGTTGTCGATGATGATGACAATGTTTACTCACCCGGCTATAGCGGCCATCAGTGGTGTGTTTCCAGCCTTATCACCTTCATCGAAATCAGCTCCTCTGTTCAGCAGTTCTAATACAATTTCACGATGTCCTTGATAACAAGCTACAGAAAGTGGGGCCATACCTTGATATACTGTGTTCACCTGAAACCAAAATCAAGGCAAGTGGTATAATATATTTGTGGGTGAAATTGTTTAAAATGTCTACAACTATGCATTGAGGACAATATTTAAATATTATTCCAATTGGGTATTTATCTCTTCGGGGGTATTTTCTCTTTTTGAAAGCCAGCTTGTAAACCGCGGGATCATTGGTCTCTACTTACTAATTCTGGACCATCATTCAGCAAGCTACAAACCAGATTGATATCCCCTTTAAATATTGCAACAAACAGGGCTGGAGAAGACACCGATGTCGCCTGAGTCCATTCGCTTACCATCATCATCATCATAAGGGCATTATTAGAATCTAAAACAAACAACATTCTGTACAACATTCCATTTCGAATGTGATCAAAAAATAATATATGCCTGTTTAACACAGATCTGTCAGCTTCCGAGATTGGTTTACGTACTCCCAGGATCTATATTTCATACAACATAAATGAAAATTGGCAGTCAAGGTTCATAGTTGGAAACGTTTCCGTATACGGACTCTACGTGAACCGTTTCAAACAATATTCCCTGATGTGGATATAATCTAGGACTAGCTTTACTATATATTAAAGCGACAATTTTTTTGAGTGTTACATTCTCTTCATCTTCGGCGCTTCCTTCATAAACTTCCTCGCCAGGAGCGGGCAAGCAACATATCCGATTGTACATGAACCACCTGCGTCCAAATCTAACATGAAGGTCACCATCCGAATCAACCTTTATGACTCGACCGACTTTCCCCAAATACTAGAACGACATGAAATCTAGAATAAGTGAATTAACCAACAGAATGTAAATGAAACAAATTAAAATATGCACAGTAATAGTTGGATCAGTTCAAGCTATATAATGTAGAACGTAATCTACGGTAATAATCGAAATAAAATCAGAAAATCTTGGATTGCAAATTTAGTATGTTATTTATGGTAATAAGTTCAGACGCAATTCTAATGCAATAAAAATTGAAAATATTCAACAACAACAAAATAGACTCACGTGTTTCATAGTTTTGATATATCCACCATGACCGTCCTGGAGTTTCTTGACATTTTTTTCACCATCAATAATTCTAACAATATCTCCTTGTTTAACCATAGACATCTATAGTGAATATTGTGACAAACCTTATTTGGACATGCTTAATGCATATTACTGAGAGTGTGTGCGAATGAATAGAATGGGTAAGAGAATTCGGTTAGTGATGGCGGAATAAACATGTAAACGAAAAGATGTCTTCCTCTTTTCTATCAATACGAGAGTTCTCCACAAATATAATTTGTAAATATTATTAGTTAGCTTGCGTTCTGTATGTTAACAAACATAAATACCTAAAATAATACGTGGGAGAGGAAGTGTCTTGAGCTTAGACTGACAGACTGTTGTTAACAGTGGCGTATTTAGGCAATAATTTCCGAGCCATGTGGGTAAGTGCCTAAGTGAATATGTGCTTGATTGAAGATGTGCCTTAATCACCGTGCCTATATAACGCTGTGCCTATGATCTCTATGATCTGCTCCCATATTAACGCTTGCTTAAAAAAAAGTGTGCCTAAAGTACTGTGGCTAATAACTTCCTTAAGTGGCATTTAGTAATTGAGGTATGAATATATGACCAGAATTTTATGGATATCAATTACTTTAATAATCGACGTTTCGACGATGATACTTGCTTGATAAAGTATCATCGTCAAAACGTCGCATGTTATTTATTAAAGTAATTGTTATCCATAAAATTGTTTTCATATACTGTGTCTAATAACTGTCTTTTGCTTAAAATATTTGACTCTAAGCAATATCTAGCTAGTAAACCCAAGTATAAAATCAACACTACATTATACCTTTGATAAAACATCAGAAGAAAATTTATTTTGCCATCCATCAAAAACTACTATAGCATCTCCATTTTGAGTAAACTTCTTTATTTCTCCAACTTTTCCCACGAACTGAAAAATGTCAGCTATATACATTACATTTTTCAGAATTAATTTTTAGGGTCAAAGTATACTCCGTCTACTCGATAAAGACATCGACTACTCGATAAGACACCGACTACTCGATAAGACACCGGCTACTCGATAAAGACATCGACTACTCGATAAGACACCGGCTACTCGACAAAGACATCAACTACTCGATAAGACACTGGCTACTCGATAAAGACACCGGCTACTTGATAAAGACCACCGGCTACTCGATAAAGACACTGGCTACTCGATAAAGACACTGGCTACTCGATAAAGACCTCTTGCTACTCGATAAAGACCTCCTGCTACTCGATAAAGACATTGGCTACTCGATAAAGACATCGACTACTCGATAAGACACTGGCTACTCGATAAAGACACCGGCTACTTGATAAAGAACACCGGCTACTCGATAAAGACACTGGCTACTCGATAAAGACACTGGCTACTCGATAAAGACCTCTTGCTACTCGATAAAGACCTCCTGCTACTCGATAAAGACATTGGCTACTCGATAAAGACCTCTTGCTACTCGATAAAGACACTGGCTACTGTAGGTCTAATTATCAGAGTATAATTTTTGAACTGAAAACATCTTACCCATTTCGTGTGTCTTTTAAATACAACAAGTTTTTCTAGATTAATCTTCATACATTTAGGCTTATGTCCTGCACCATTACTTGGTGCCCCTTCAATAACAATCGATTCCATCTCTTTCTCTGAAAAATACGCAAATTCTTACGCATATTTTACTATCAAGCTTACAAAGTCCCAAACTCAAATCATATTCAACTCAAATCAGATCAAGGTCATGATATACGGCCCTTCAAAGTTTTCATATAGCCTAATTCAATCGAAAAAATAAATAATAAAAAGCAAAATCAAATTACAAAAACCCAGGAGTAGTATACCATATAAACTGATTTCGACGATGTAAATTGTTGAAACGTTGTGTACAATAAAACCCAGGAGTAGTATACCATATAAACTGATTTCGACGATGTAAATTGTTGAAACGTTGTGTACAATAAAACCCAGGAGTAGTATACCATATAAACTGATTTCGACGATGTAAATTGTTGAAACGTTGTGTACAATAAAACCCAGGAGTAGTATACCATATAAACTGATGATGATAATGTAAATTGTTGAAACGTTGTGTAAAATAAAACCCAGTAGTGGTATAAGGTGCGAATAGACGATGCCTGATTATCGTTACAATGGAAATAGAAGAAACGAATCATGTCTGTATCGTGTCCGGACCAGTATCTTGTGTTTTCACTTATTTTCGCTTGTATCGATCATTCCTCACCGTACACCACACCTCGTCTATTTGTGACCTAACCCTTATTACCCTTATACATATAATGCACTGGTTGTGTTTATTTTTGTTATACAAAAATATCTGTGTTTAACTATATAATGTAGTGATATCGCCATTACGTATTATTATGATCTTGTAAAGTCGCTTTGTCTATTTCACATAACGTCCCTATGGTCTCAGTTACTGACGTTGTCATTAATTTGTAAAAATAAACGATACTGAAAACTAAGCCAATTCTTTTGGGGGATCAAAATTAGAGATCTTAGGTTTAATCTTCTTAATCTGGATCTGGGAAGCAGGTCTATCGTTCAATCGTTACTATACTTATTCTCTTGACTAAATATTTTCATTACAGATATTCACAGTGTATTTGATTTTGATATCATGATAAGTATTTTGATTTTGAAGCAATTTGTATAACGTATCAAAAACGTTGCTATGTAAATAAGTTGGACTTACCTGTAAAATGGTTGACTCACAATAACAAACAACAAAACAGAAACGTCAAAACTGGTATAAACCTGTTGAATTGACGAATACAATTATTCTTTTGTGTACTGAAATGTTTTCTTATGCGTAATCGAATTCAGCAGTGACTATTTACCACGTATGTATAAGATACGGGCGGGTTGATTTGGGTCTTGAATAACTATGTAAATAGTCTTCAATTTAACTTTCAAACGCGGATCATTCTGGACACACGGATTTGAGAGGTTGGGAACTTAAAGACACAGAGCCAAACGTATTCATCCCATCCCATCTGACAGATCTGGACGACAACCAAACGTCTTCATCCCCCATCCTATCTGACAGATAAGGAAGAGAACCATACGTCTTCATCCTATCCATCTGACAGATCTGGAAGAGAATCAAACCTCTTCATCCCATCCCATCTGACAGATCTGGAAGACAACCAAACGTCTTCACCCCCCATCCCATCTGACAGATCTGGAAGAGAATCAAACGTCTTCATCCCATCCCATCTGACAGATCTGGACGACAACCAAACGTCTTCATCCCCCATCCCATCTGACAGATAAGGAAGAGAACCATACGTCTTCATCCTACCCATCTGACAGATCTTGAAGACAATCAAACGTCTTCATCCCCCATCCCATCTGACAGACCTGGAAGAGAATCAAACCTCTTCATCCCATCCCATCTGACAGATCTGGAAGACAACCAAACGTCTTCACCTCCCATCCCATCTGACAGTTCTGGAAGAGAATCAAACGTCTTCATCCCACCCCATCTGACAGATCTGGACGACAACCAAACGTCTTCATCCCCCTTCATCCTGACAGATCCCC